TACAAAATATACGGCAAGGCTGAGAACAAATTTTATAAAAAGTTTACAATGAACAGTATTCCTAAAAAAAAGTTATCTATCTCATTAATATAAGGCTCTCGAGCTGTTAGTTTTTATGAAGATGTGTCCTGTTACTAATATATGAAAATGTGTTCAACTCTTAACAAAATATCTATTGTGGAGACGTCTCGAGCCAGCCTGATGTTTATCATAAATTGGTCATTTCACACTCCGGACAATACCGGTCAATTTGTACACCATTGTTAAATAGACATTGAGAGAATAATAGAGAGAAATACCATGAATAATATAGAGGTAATCAGCTGAGGATCGGGTGGTGGGTGGTGAAGGTCGAAGACACCTCAGTCTCTATAGTGAGAATGAACTGCCCTTGACAGTCCAAATATTCTTGTACCGTGACAATGCAATTAGCCTACATTATGATAATATGTTCGGCATAGTTGCTGGAAATATTTTTATGAAAATATCTTGATGAACAATGGCTTATATATTCAATTCCTTTGAATTATCCTACTTTAACTAACCCCTCTTGCTCTCCCTCCCTTTTTTCTACATAGAGAAATGAAATAATAGAACTAAATATAAAAGTTTTTTTCATCTGAGTTTCCAGGCATGTTTTTTCTATCCCATGCAAGAATGATTTTAAGAAATCATTCGCATCTATACGAAAGAGAAAATTAACAATTCATCAATATTTTTGACGACACCCAATGATTTTGTATGTGTCTATCTGTGATCTTCGTTTAATGCAGTTCATTTTTTTCAATGTTCAAAAAACTGTATATGTGGTGTAAAATTGATTTTGTTTATTGAAGCCTGCCAATAATTTGGGAAAAGGAAAAGTTTATATTCAGAAAAATAAAATGGATAAAAGTGCCAAATCCTATGGGTATTTATTTTGTTTACCACAGATGCCCATTTTTTAAAAAAAACTTTTTTCATATGAAATGGTGTGAAATTGGTCGAAATGGTGAAATATATTTTATATCTAATAAAATCTATCTATTTACTAATAAAATATTCGCTATTAATATCTATAAAAAATATATTTGCCAATACGAAGCAATATTTCTGTTCGCCATTAAAGATGTGTTAGAAAAACTATTCGCTATTAAAGTGTTCTTACATACAGTTGATTGAGAAAGCTCAATCTCGCCTCATACCTGACTGGTGTTGTATAAAAGATGAACTTCATCAAATATTGTCAACAAGTTGTACCTGTACCTATTTTATAACCCATCCCTTCTCACCTGTAAACCATTTTACTTATAATCATCACTTATTATCATATCAAATTTGAAAAAAAGTTTGTTGAAAGACTTCAATGAATTGAAATATAGGTTCGTTTTTTCTTATTTAGTTTTTCAAAAAGGGAGAAAATTATTTGAAAAATTTCACTAAATTTATAATTTTCTTGTTTATGATTTCAGGTATTTTGCTATTATTGAATAATTTGATAGAGAACAAGTTTTCTAAAGACTTTTAATTTTCTTATTTGAGGAAAAGAGAGGGTAAAATTATTCAAATCAGTACCGAAAAAAAAAATATATTGATGGTTCTCATTCGCAACTAACATTTTTAGGTTGATGAGATTTCCAAGACCTATCTGGATCTATCCAGGCCGAATTCGTTGTTTCTAGTAGTGGGGGAGGGGAGGGGGTGTTTTCTGTCACAGACAAAAGCGGAACCTTACATTGCACTCACATGGGTTTTAGTTCATATGTATTGTGTAGGTTGAAACAAAACTAGTCATCAAAACACAGTTTCTATTGAATCTGTTTACAATAAAGAAAACGTGATTCAGTTTTCAACTAGGTATTATGTGAGGAAAATCTTACAAAGTTCAAGAAGTCTGTATGTAATGTAAGTAAATTGAATATAAAAGTCAACCCAAACTCAGTCACAATGGGTTAAACTTTTTACTAGCCTATTATCCTTCACTTATAGATATCTACGAATTCAACTTGTCAGATTTCGCAAAATCTTGTTTGTATAATACATAATACATTATGACATATTTGTGCAATATGAATACCCAATGTGCTTAGTAAGATATGCTATAGACATGTATTTTTCAAAATACAGTAATGTTCAATGAATGTGTTTTCTATAAAAATAAAACACAATTATGAATAATATCCTACTCTTTCCTTTAATTTAACAATATTTGCGCTTGAAAAAGATTCCTGTATGTGAATTGAAACGTTGCTAAAATGACAGGAAGGTGTAGTATATCTATAATAGCTTTATATTTTCTAATGTTATTTAAAGATTATAATTTCTTACCTTACAAATCGAAAATTATTGTGGAATTCTTTTCGTGAAATTTTATAAGTTCTTCCAGTCACAATAATCCTAATTGAAAAACAGAAGCGACAGAATGTCCCCTTGTCTCACCCCGTATACCGTTATCTTATAACTCAATACAGGCTTGTTCACCCGAGCATCGGACATAGCAATACTTTCACACGGTCAGGCTCGATTATCAAGACGTATAGGTAAATAAAAAGACTATTGAATACCGGTACAGAAAGATTATCCAGTGAGGTAAACTAATACAATAAAGTTTTGCTATAAACTGCACTCAAGCCATAAATCAAAAACTGTAAACTGTTGATTCATTGATATGTGAAATAAACAAATGAATAATAAAATAAATCTGAAGATTAAGTTTGATTTTTGAAAAGTTGTTGTTTTAAGAGTGAAAAACAATATTCGTTTATCACGGACTTTTAGCGTGAAAGTATTGGACGTAAAACTCAGTAAAACCATAGGGAATACCTACAGCCTATAACTGTCGCAATATCTATCAGAGGCTGGAATAGAGGCAGGTGTGTATTAATTTTACGAAGTCAGTCCAACAATATATTTTTCTTTTTAATTTTAGCACAAAAGGCCAAATTTAAAAGGCTAAGTTTGATGCACATATTATGAGTTATTGCCCTTGTTCTTCAAAACGCGTTAATTATGCAAGTGGTATCTGTAAGATTCTGTAGTAGGCACAATTATTGATTTAAATGAAACTTGGTACAATTGTTCATCATTAATCAAGGAGGAACTCTATTAAATATATCTAAAAATATTAAGATATATTTTATAAGTTAGTGCCCTTGCTACCCGCAAAATTTTGATTTAAAATTTATAACTATTTAGAAGTTCGAAATCATTTGTTATCTCTTTCCCTATGGAAAACCTGAAGAGTTCTGAAAGAAGTGTTTCACTAAAAGTTCAATAACAGATGATGGTTTCCGTTCTGCCAAGTGCTCTAATTTAAACAAAGCTGCCAGTGGGCATATCTTACTATGCCTGGCAATTTTGGCATGATTTCGTAAAATTTGAACGAATCCTATGTCGGATCAACTTGGGCTGTTTGTACAAGAAATAAGAACTACGAACAACACAACAATAAGAGCGAAATTCATCAGTTATTAGAGGCAGTATAAAAATACATAATATCACTTTGAGCTATAACTGATCGGGACTATTTATTCAGTATAAAATTACAGTACCCTTATAGACGCTATAACATCATCCCTCGGTTAATTAGTCTTTAATTAACCACGTCAAATATATATTAAATATTAAAGAGACGATGTCTAATTTGGAATAATTGAGTACAAAACAAATTGTAGGAAAGCTGGCATCCACTGATAATATAAAACTGAACCGTTTTTCTACTATGTGTTATAGATTGATAATATAAAATCTATTAATATCAGTGGTTTTCTGGTATTTATTACAGGTGGGTAATTATATAATTAGGCTAGGTAATCAGGTCTATTATCAAACAATTTGCTCTTATATTTATCATTCATAAAGACATTAACCCATAACAGAATTGCGAAATTTACTGGGGTATAACTTTGAGTTTAAATGTATTAAATTGGTAGTTTTGCAACAAAAGGGAGATAAACCCAATCACTTTTAACAAATTCAGACAATGTAAATATGTATTTTTTTTATTTTCAATAAAATATTGTAATTATTGGAATGTTATAAACAATATATATTATTATGCAAATTAAAAACAACAAATAAAGGACATAAAATATACAATTTTTTCATAAGAAATCTAATATTTGCACCAAATTGTATTGCAATAATTTTTTCCTTACATTTACTTTCTTTGGAATAAGAATGTCCGTACGTGTAAGTGATAAATGTAGAAAATTATGTTAGTAAATGGTTTAAGGGTGTATCAGAATATTAAATAATTAAAAAAAAACATTCAAATTGTTTATAAAGATAAATTATGGTAGGCCTGTACTGTGACTAGAAATATTTCATATGATTAACTATATATTAGTGAAGCTATACGATTATGCTAAGTGCTAATGCATAATGATACATCAAAGGCATTGTTTCAGAGGCATAGTTTAAAGGCATTGTGTATGGAGGCATAATATAAAGGCATTGTGTATGGAGGCGTTATTGAAAGGCTCAGTGATCAAAAAACTAGTTAAGCGAATTCCCAATTTACAATAGTTAGCATTAACACATAAAATAGAAATATATATCTATATCTAAATGTGATGTGATGTCATAACTATGATGTCATAATTATGATAATATATTGATGATACAGAATAATGGCACTGTCTAATGACTGATAAATTGCACTTTTTCTTTAATTAGAAATAAATACTTAATGCAATAGCTGAACTTATCAGCCTAATTTAAATTAAACCAAACTTTCATTCAATTTTTTAAAGGTGTATTCAGTGTCTAATGCTTCTCAGAATATGCCTTTTGTTTGTTTCTCAAAATCCCAGCATTGGAGAGGGCAGGAATTTGATTGGCCGGCGGTGTCACCAAACTGACAAATGTTCAAGAAAGCTGTCTTTAGACCTTAACTGAAGTGGCTATACTAAAAATAAAAGATTATTAAAAAACGGAACAAAAGTTTGGTGTAATATTAATTAGACTGCTGAACTATATAAATTTTACAATTACGATATCATACAATGACAGACAATATATTTTTTTTAGTGTATAGTGTGATAGTGCAGGTTTAATGCTTTACAATAATACCAACTAGGTTCACAAACATACATCAACAAACACAACACATATTTTCACATCCTATTTAAACATTTTGATTACAGTACTAGACAAAACCAACCAAAGACCAATGATTATTTTACAAATCAAAGACAAACCAAAAACATTGCTCTGAAAAATATCTTTTCAAATAGATGTTGAATCAGTTTGACATTTGAAAATACCAACAACTTTATTTGTGTCTGACTTGCATCAAGAAATCCCAGTTCTCTTTCCATGTTAAACTATGAATCTGTTCAGCCGTAAGGTGGGTGTTACCGTAAGTAAAGACAGATAACTCTAAAAAGGCATAAACAGCTCCAGACAACAATATCATAGCTAGAAATCTTATAACAGGCTGGACTCTGGGGTAACTGAAATGACACAAATAGATTTTGTTTTCAATTTGAAATAAGGGAAATTTAGCAAGAAAATAAAATGTTCTTAATGTTTAGCCTTCTTTTAATCTCCTGAATAACTGATGATCGTATTCTGATGATTTTTTGTGGACATTAAATTACACAAACCTAACTATGCCTTTAAAATCCATCATCAATCGCTTTACAATCATTGAATATATAGAGTGCAAGTTTACAAAGATTACAATCGTCGCAAGTTTACAAACATCGTACAGTGATTGTGTCAAGGAATGTTAATTTTGTGAAAACATCTTAATTTTGTAATTTAGACTCAATTTGCAATTGGTTGCAAACATACGACCTGTAAATTGTATGCAAACTTGTATAACCAGCCCCAGATTCAAATGTTGGAATTGATAACTTACCTCAATGATATGCCATAGATATGATCGGCAAATGCAGTAAAAGCCATGACTTTAAATATGATCGCCGGAAGATAATTATGAAGAAACATGGTACGGTCTGCTAGATAGAAAGGGAGGTAATGTAGTAAATAACCTCCAACCAAAACTTCACCAATAAAAACAAACTTTTTAAATTCACCTGTAAGAAAAAAATGACAAATTAAAACATAACCCTGATTCGTAATTCATCTTATTTGTGTTTCTTTAACCTAGAATTGTCATTAGAGTGTAGAGGGCACAGAAAATAATGGCAATCACTTAGTGAATTCTTAACAGGTTCCATCTATTCCAATTCTAAACCAAATGCCTCCTTAAGACATAAGTTAACATACAATTTAAAGCAACTAACAAATAAAACTAAAAAGGTTCCATACCGTCAGTTATATCATAGATCTGTCGTCTTCTACGTAACATATAGAATAAGATAAACAGTAGATATACTACAACACCTATAGTACCACAATACCATACTACTGGATTACCTAGTAGGTGTATCTGGGCCTGTAATATACAGTTAAATACCATACATTATTACCAAAAATATATATATTTGAAAAGCCATTAGTGGTATTCCTCTACTTACCCTACTTGAAAACACATTATTCTTGAGCCAGCGTCATAAGTTTTGAAAATTTCTACATTCTTTTGGTACTATTCAACATTACTTTGCCTACATAAAGCTCAGTCCTTGAAATCCTAAGGCCTTAATGGTGCTTAAATCTGTCAGAAAGTCAGTATTACTCACATTACTATGAGGACTCATCCAATAAGCCAAGTTTTTACTATCAAAAGGCCAATCTAGAGGTTCACTACTGTATTTATGTTCTAGCTCTGTGTCTTGTGATGAGAAGATCATTTTGAAATGAAGTTCCAGGAATTTGGACCAGAATGAAAGATGAGTTGGTTCTAGTGGTATCATCTCAGACTGCCGAAGATCTAAAGACTGCTTATCTTTCTCTACACCTGAAATAAACCAATAGTGAGATACTATAATACTAGTTTTATTAGTCACTTTATCAGTTGTTCTGGTCATGATTGGATCAGTTAAATTGACTAAACACATCTTCACAATGTCAAACTACATGTTTTACTCGCTGTATCTTATACTTTGACTGCGATAGCTACCTTTAATTTATCGTGGAATGCAGCCATTTGATTGGATTGTACACCAGCAAATACAACCAATCAGAGCCCTTGACAGAAAAACTGTAAACAGTATGGCTTATTGTTTACAGGCTTTCTGTTGACTCTTATTGGCTATATACGCTAATGTACAATCCAATCAAATCACTTCATTTAAAAACTTCCATGATTCAAAATAGGAGGCTCTTTAAGTCAAGGTATAATATGAAGTTTGTAATAGCTGGACACTGTGAAGATGAAAAGCCCATATATGGTTTGAATTAAACAAAAAAAAGGTCAATGATGTGTTTTGATTAGTATCAATGCTATAAATAATAAGAAATCTTACTAGTTGTATATTTATGTTCCTCTACATTCCAGATTGTAGCTTGTTGATTGACTAGTCTATCAGCTGATATTTCTAACTGATTTGATCCCCATTCTGGTAACTGTTTACCAGTCATCTAGAAATATAAACAGACAGGGTGTGATCAGTTGGTTCAATTAAATGCAAATCATTTCCATTTCATACCCTATTTTTTCTGCAAGGGGCCGTTTCACTAAACTTCTTAAGTTCACATTTTCATATACCCTATAGTACCTTTTTTTTTTAATTCATGAAATGCTTCAGATAAAATAAAACGTGTCATTTTCTGTTAACTGAAGGAATAAAGATGTAAATTCAACAAAACAATGTAGTGGACAACATGTATGAAGCTCTTGTAGCTTAGATCTTCCTTTTGCTTAAACTAAAGCAACTTAGTAAAACAGCCCCTGTTCCTAGACTCACTTCCATGATCTGATGAAATTGTCATGCATATCAGGTTCATTTAATATTCAACCAATCAATGCTATATGATACATATACAAGTAATGGTTAAAATGAAATACAAACCCTCAATGCTGCTGTGGTATTAACATGAACTAATCTAACATGACTCTTTATAGTCTGCCAATTCTTTTCACCATTCTCTTGGTTTAAAATTTCCTGAAATAACAGTAATTTTATATGTGAACACCATATTGAAACATTGCAAGTAATAAATATTCTATCCCTTAAATTTTAATATTCATCTTTAACTTCTGCTTCTAATATGCCATTAAAGATTTAATATGTTTATAATGAACAGAACAACAAAGAAGAATGACCTTATCGCAGATCCGTGTGGTTGATATATTTTACTTTACAGTGCGCATAAATGAATACATGTTTCACAAAGTTTGTATATAATTAACATAAACTGTTATAATAATGTTAATATTCAATATGTAGCTATCAAATATATCTGGATCAAAGAGAAAATAGACCTACCACTCTCCATAAATGTTGAGCCGGCATTGAAACATTATAATCTATGTAACAACTAACTTCTTGATTCTGAGGACTAACTGGGGCTGCTACATCATGACTATAATATCAAATATCTTTCTTAAAATATAAGATACATCATCTGGAGATTGGGAACTTTCTAACGCTAGTGTCCAGGGTTCAATCAGGGTGGATATTATATCTTCTGATTTTTCAACCAAGTTTCCTTCTGATGCAGGTGGGAAAATCTGACATAAAAAAGTGTCTGGTCATTCCAGTACACAATAATTATCCCTTAACAGTTTGAAATCTAAAAAGGGTGGGCTAATGCCACAGGCCTAGTAATATTTCCCTCATTGCACACTGCATGTCTTTGCCTGCCTACATCAGTCCGGTCAGGAGCAGAAAGAAGAACATGATGAAAGAAGAGTCCCCGATGTTAATTTAATGTTAATGAAAACTGACCTATTTAAAGCTCTGCTAGTTATACCATGTATTAACTGTATAATATCACCATGTTTTACTGGTCTAGGTGGATCTTCTACAGCTAAACTATCACTATAAATAATATATAACAATCACATGAAACTTATAACAAATTATGTTTATACTTCCTCAATACATGTATATATATTATTTTACTGACTCATTCAGTTTCTTTCCAACTGAGTGATAATTGTAGAGATTTGATTGAATGAGCTTTCTGCTAAACTTTAGTTTTGGGTTATTCTTACTTGCTTGGATCTTTGACAATCCACCAATTATTAACATCTTTAAATACATAACATGTGACTTGTTGTTGGTGACTACTGCCTCTGTTATCAGAGTATCTAATTGGGTAGACTTGATTATGTGAATGTAACCAGCAAGGTTTACCAGGGACAGAATCATACGTATGACGTAAAGTTATCTGAGAACCATATGCTATATTCAAAGGTTGTCCTTTAGTTAAAGCTGCCAAACCACCCTGAAATTAATATAGATAAATCTATTTGGCTCTCTATATGATTTATAACAGAATAACAACAGAATGAGACAAGAATAACCACTTTTGTGTATGAATTTTTAACAGTTCCTCCTAAAGTCAATTTAGAAAGTAAATTTTCCAAGAGTCAAGAGAAATGTCACTTCTTAAAATACTGAAAAAACTTAACAGACACCAATAGTAACATGTTCTGTAGTCAGTAAACTTATTTAACATACTACTGCTTCTTTTTACTACCCTTAAAGTTCGTTTTACACTGACTTTCTCTGATGTCCTTAGTAAGGACTTCTTATATATATTTATATAAGCATTTAAAAATAAAGATATATGATACATCTGCACCATGTTTTTTGCCTTTCAGTATAATAACTTACCTCTAAACTAGCTTGAAAGGCACTAGTCATAATATTATCATGTGGTCCAGCCTTGGTAAGATGTGTTAAATGTATATAGAAGATAGAGATATACGTGACTATAGGTAGACATATCAAAATGGCTATTCTTATTATTATATGTTTTATTAGATTCATCTGAAATATATGAAAATATAGTAATTAACAAGATTGCTGATGACCTTTTTCAAATTCAGATTTATGAGCATTAGTCTTAGGGTTTAGGTAATTTGAAATATATACATATATATATATATATATAGTATAGATATTTGTGATAAAACAGAGTCTGATTTGAACATGAACACAATCAGTCCACATAATGTTTAGGAAATGTAAGCAGTAATCAAAACAATGCATGAAACAAAAATTTGTTTACAGGCTTTAAATCAAACCAAGATAATATTTTGCTCAACTATATCTTGTGATATACTTCTACTGACCATGTGAAAACATGTACCAGCTATACTAGGTAGTTTAATAGTACCAATAGTCTATCATATTATAGTGGAATTAGGACTAACAAGATGGGCAGCTGTAGCTGTAGAAAACATGTCTAAAACGGTTAAAATGACTGCTATTTCCACTACTTAAGACAGTCTTTTTTTATAAAAAACAAGATAGATTTGTTGGATTAATCACAATTGAACATAATAGAATCTTACATCACTTCTAGAATAATCAGATAACATGTTCCAATAATCACGAGCATGAAAAAATACCACCATTACAGCTACAAAACATCCTATATATTTTATACTGTAAATATAACATAACATATATAACAGTTGACTAACACAAGTACAAGGCTTCATCATAACCTGTATCTACCATACTGTATTATAGTGAATATAGTGCCCATTCATTTAACCCTCAGGTAAATCACAGTAAATAATACGTATCCTATCTGATAAAAAATAAACTGAAGGCAAGGGAACCATTATCTAACAAACTATTTTTCTAACCTGAGTGTCAAGGTGAAGGACAGTCCACACAAAATTAACCAGAAATACCACTGAGTTGAAAACTCTCTGAAAAAGAACATTTGATTTAAACTTAGAGATAATTTACTTCATAGCTTTCTATGATCATATAAACATAATAAGATAATACATCAATCAGTTTACCATAATATAAAGTATTGTCAGAGAGAATATAAATACCAAAGATATCTATTTCAGCAGAAACTTAAAGGATTAATGACATAAATATCAAACTGATGAAACTTTGTGTGATAAGGTGGATAGGATATTATGAATATTTTTAATCAGTTTTTTATTTCAATTCAAGTGATTCAACATATCTGAATGCTACACTCTAGTTTACTTTTTGGCGCATAAAACAAGTATATTAATATAGATATAACGTACTAATAAAGTTAATGAATATTTACCTGTGATTGAGATTTTTAAATTTAAGATAACTTAGAACTGATAAAGCCATGAAAAATATCAGCATCCCCTCCATTAACATAAATCTAGACTGAACCAATAGGGCATTATCTGTAATAGTGGAAACATTGAAATAAATTGAGATATAGATGCTGTCAAACCTCATAATTTAAAGATATCTACGTTTTAAAGATGGATATTCTATCATTGAGAAATACTAATCTGATATTAATACAAATAGTGGACAAATCTTCATTTAACAATCGAGTTAATTAATTACAAAAAAAAGAAAAGAATACAGGTTAACTCAAGGAGACTATCAATAATGATTCCTGTAGAGTTTCCAACTTACCTAATAATATAAAACTAGCAGCTGCTACAGCTGCCCATCTTGTTAGTCCTAATTCCACTATAATCTGATAGACTATTGGTACTATTAAACTACCTAGTATAGCTGGTACTAATCTCATTTGGAATACTGGCATATCACCTGGATATACTGAAATCATAGAGATATTCATGAAAACTCCATATTAATGTTATCTTATCACATCTCCATTGATAATAGAAAAAAACTATCATTAGAGTACCAAGTATTCATAATTACTTCATAATTGGATCAACACTGTTTCAAAATTATAAATTTCACTAAAAACATATGCTTAAAACCCATCTAAGAAATCACTAAGGAATACCATGTTATTTTATGAAAAGTATAACATTTACAGCATTAAAAATCAATTGTTGGCCGACTGATGGGCACAAGAGATATGGGATCTAAGGCTACAGAATGAGACACTGAATATACTGAAACCATAAAGGAAATCACCAATATTCACACCACGGTAATATTAATACTTTTAGTTCCACAACATATTTGAAAATAAAAAAAAAATTCCTGATAGGGTACTACAAAGTAGGGGCAATGCTGTAGCCATCATTATGTTTACCACAGACATATGTTAAACATATTCAATATGTCACTAGTTTTCTCTTTACCTATATATATGCTTGTTAATCTTTGTAATATTAATAATAATTCATTGCTTGATAAAGACTAGAGAACACTGGTCGAAACATCGCTCAAATAAAGTTAGTAATTGTAATCCATAAGAATTTTTTCATTATATCCAACACCTTGACTAAATGCCATTCAAAGATCATAGCTCTCGCTAACTGAGATGTTCAGTTACTACTTACCTTGTCCTATTCTATCTAGAGTAATATTTCCTTCATACCCAGCATAATTACCTGTAATACATCATAGACAAACTAATTAAATTTTAAATTTAACTTCAATAAAATATATGGAATGAATCTTATGTGAAATAGAGGATGAAAACCCACATAAACATTTTATGGTAAATATCAATAGGCCAATACAAACTAGATTTATAAGAGTTATATAGACACAGCTTTATGGAACAACAATCACTGGTTAAAGTTTCTAAGCAACATTTCGACATGTTTCCTCCATCATCCTCAGGCACAGAATGCCATTTAAAGACTACAGTAAGATTTGTAAATAAATTTCATATTGTGATTTTTAAACATTCTGATGTCAAATGACCACTGAGATGTTGCATACACTTTGTGGATATAATGTGCTTTAATAAGGTTCTAATAAAACACAATGTAAACAAACTTGTCCTAGCTTATTAAAATCAAAAATATTTGCCTACCAGCGGCTGCTAGAATCATTTTACCGAGTGGTGGATGGACATCAAAGAAAAACATTTTCCGTAAATAAAGTGATACAAACTTAGCAAAATGTAACTCATCAAACCTGAAATGAAAAAAAAAACATACAGTCAGATATATTCATCACATAAAGCAGTTGGTATAACGAGAAACTTTCAATATAAGATTAAACATTAGTTAGAATGCAAGCTAAAATAGGTCAGTTGTCTGAAACTCTGAGAGTTAGATTCTGTTTTAATATTTCTAAGATTACATCTATACACCTTGACACAATATACAATATTCTAATTGTTGATTTTAATACTATATTCACAAATTCAATACAAAAAAAAGTGAAAAGCAATCTCTATAAATAATCATAATTGAAAAAAAATATTACAGAATACATCTGATTACATGAAATTTTGTAATTGATTACAGTTGATTACAATTATAGATTATGATTTTCTACTGGACTGCTTGCTACATGTCAAATTTTAGATAATATCAAATGATTAAGGGTGTTCTTTAACTAACAATGATTGTAAGAAGACAATAGGACAGATTCAGCTGTATATATTTCATTGTTTTAATTAACAATGTCACAGACTAATAAATGAATAAAAGGCCATTCTAAATGGATCACATAATAAGAGAAGAAATGAAACTTACACAACAGCTCTAGGATAGCCTAGTTGCCATGTTCTACTAATAACAGATAGAGTTGTCAACATCATCTGCATTATATCAAACTCCACTTGTACTGTAAATGGTTTTTTGTTATTTTCTAAGGCTTCTCTTTCACTGTCTACCATACTGACAGGTGCACCATCACCCTAGTATGTTATCAATATGTTAGTCAAGTTAGAACAAATAGGAAATGATTGGCAGTCCTTCATCAAACATGTCATGATATGTAAATCATGATGAAAAATATAACAGCAAGGACCAGGGTCCAGTCTCAATCAAATTAACATCGTTGGTATTTATCAATGTAAATTTCCCCACTTACAACAGATTCTTCCACTTTTAAAGTTTAGAAGGAGTCATGCCACAGCAATGAAACTTGGTAGGCATATACGAAATTCTCTCTTTTAAAATTAACTGATGCTGATTGAGTGAACCAATTTTTTCAAAAGTAGAACCAGAGACTGTCAGACACCGCCATTTATCTTCTTTTTATCAGATGCAAACCTTCATGTTGAAGAAAACTTGACACTTTTTGAGGCAGATCCAGCTAGTTTCCTTGAACAATTCCTTACTTAAGACGAGTTTTGGGTTCACTATTTCATACCAGAGACTACATGGGAGTTTTTGCACTGGAAACACCCTTCTTCTCCCCCTCCACTTCACCAAAGGTTCAGGTTCTACATAAGTGTTGAATTAACTGTAAGGTTACATACTCATCAGCACTGTGGCATAACTCCTTCCAAGTCAGTCTATGAACTTTTTAGTCACCCCCACCCTCCCCCCTTTGTATATTCTGCTAGTTTAATGGAGATAACCTATGTTCTGCTAGTTTAATGATAAATTGGCTTACAGGATGTCTTGGTCTGTTATCTGTATTGCCGCTGTTACCAACATCAGAATTAACAACAGGTTCCATTTTGCTGACTGAAATGAAAATAATATACATGGGCTGTCATAGGTCACATCTAAACAATTACAACCAATGTAGATCTATAGAGAATTTTCACTCAAGCCAGAAATATATTTATATATTATGTTATTACCACTACAATGATTCTGTTACACTGAGTAACATATGGACGAAAACAACCAATACCAAGAACCGAAGCAACTATTTTACAGCTAAAACAACAATGCTTGATCCAAAAACAACTATGTTGCAGGCCAGAAGAGCAAGATCATGCTCATAAAATATCATCATGACAATATTTGAATGGCCATCATTATCATGGCATATCATATGGGCCGGTTCATCGTCACTTCCCGGACAGTCTACCCACCTAAGAAAAAGCTTTTGCTACACGTAGCTTTGTAAATATTTCATGAGATATATCAGCATTCGTTGGATAAAGACAGGTGATCAATTATTTGAGTAGTCATTACAGAAAGCAGGTGAAACGAGTTTTAACCATCATTAACTTTTTGTTTACCATCACCTAGACTTTTCTATCTCACAGAAAAAAGAGCTTCAGGAAAAGATAACTCTCCAGCTTATCTCCCCTGATCATCCCATGATGAGGAAATGTATTTTTATTGAAAAAATTGAAAATAATTGATCAAAAGAAGTTAATATATGTGATATTTTGCTAAATGTAAAGTAGAGACACATATTCACTTTTGTTGACAGTTGACATTTCAATATTATTGTGAATATGTGAGGAGTGTAATTTGTTTTGTTTACTGAAGTGGTGTGTCTAATTTGCCAACTAATCCAGTTAACCAATAGATCACTATCAGGTAAAGTCTACTAGTACTTGACATTATCAGCCATCTCCAGTAATTTACGCCACATAGCCCATTTTTGTTCCATTCCGTTAAATAGCTAGGGCACTTTAGGCCTGTGGTGAATTTTATTTTGAAAAATAGGCCTTATCAGGTGGATAATAAAGTAGCCCTAGGTTACTTGGTTATATTTATCAAATTCCTTCACTTTCACAAAATCCCAGTGATGGAGAGGGCGGAAAAATGATTGGTTAAAGCACGGATCATCAGGTTAATTTGAAAGGTTATCTTGACAATTTTTAAAGAGGCCCGTCTTTTGAACCTAACTGAAGTTTCTATATCAAAAATATAAGCTGATAAAAAACCGGAATGAAAGGTTGGTCTTATTTTAATGAGACTGTGGTCTAATGTATGTGACATAAGAATATAGACTATGACCTGTAATTTACATCTCATAATATATCTGATATAGGACATGATAAAATTATAATCTTTTAGCTTATCAATGATAGATAAGATCATAATAGTATACAGATGACAACAGTATGGCAAAAGTTTTATTTTCTAGAATTTAAATTCTAGAATATTTTAATGATTATAGGATTAGCTGTTATTATTTGTTTGTGGTTTTGTTTATGGATTCTGTTTTGGTTGAATTTGTGTAAAAACTTGTAGAATTTGAAGGTTTATTTTGATTGTGGTAAGAAATTTTTTATTTTCTAATAGGCTTATCAATTGAAAATTGTTTCTAGGTTTTCAGAATTTTTAATGGCAGTGATAGTTTATCAAAAACTAGATAACTTTTTTAATACCCTATTTAGTGGTTTTCAGCCACTTATACAAGTTAGAAAGTAACATCTGCTAAGGAAGAACAAGATGTATTGATATACTATTTATGACATTTATTAGAGGGACAGGTGGGCCATATTTTGACCGATCATACTTTAGTCTCAGAAATGGGAATTTTTAGCTAAGCCAATCAGTAATAGTGTTCACAGTTTACTGTCAAAATTTGAGCCTTCAAATCCATTTGTGTCCAGAATTATCCGCATTTGAAAGATACTCCGTGATATATAGAAAAGACGTATAGAAATAGTGAGTAAAATTCCTAGTTTGAAGTTTATTTGAGGAATTTCGCAATTTTCGTAGTTCTAGTACTTTTGAAGATTATTAACATATATTCAAAACTAAAATCAACCCCCAAAATAGTACATCTCTCCCTTTAACTCAATGTTTCACATGCACATACAGGCAGCATTATCTTCCCCCTATTGATTTCATAAATTGTAAGCTTGTATTCATCTATCTTGTTTATCCTTACCTTATTTTATAAAAAGAAAATCCAATATAAATTATTGGTCCCCTTTTTATAAAGAATTCTGTAGAATGGTGATATTAATTTGTGTTTGATGAACTGTGAATATTTGATATATTTAAGAATAAAGAATGTCTGAAGAATATATTAAAGAGAGATATGTACTATCTCTAGATGTTGGAACCACTACTGTTAGATGTCATGTGTATGATAAAACATGTAATATAAAAGGTTCTAGCAGTAAAAAGGTATGTTGATATATAAAGCTTATTTATAGATGGTTGAAGGGAAAGGTTCGGCATCCAATCCTACCTTAATCTAAGAAACTTGAATTTTTTATGTAAGGTTATCTGTAATACTGTTCACAGCTCACCGTCAAAATTTGAGCTTTCAAAACCTTTTGTTCCAGAGTTTTGAAGGTTAAAATGACGACTATGCTTCCATAAAAGCTTTTATTAAATTTTCTGTCATATAACAGCTTTTTCAATGGTCATTTTTGTATCTGATGATAAATAAGAATTTACACTAATTCTGAAAGACCTTAGTAAAGGATACTTTGCTCTTGAACTTGCACCAAAGATAACAAAATTAAACATCTCCTGGTATAATTTTCAAATTTCCAAATACTTGTAGTTCTGCCTAAGAATTTAGACTACTACTGTAAGCTGTCAAAGAATTATCTAATAGAGTTATATTTGTGAACGTTCCCCCATTGTAGATTGAATTGATTCATCCTCAAGTAGGATGGAGTGAAATGGATCCTGATAAATTGGTAGACCAGTCTAAAGCTTGTATAAAAGAGGCCATTCAAGGTAAAAAATCATTGCAAGGCAGACTTTGGATTTTTATTACAGTGAACCCCTCTCAACCACATATTGCTGGCTGCCACACAAACCTTCATATATAGGGACATATTCAGAAATCCAATCACTATTATAGTCTGAAGAAGAAAACCCTCAATAAACAGGCACATCCTGTGTAAATAGTTCTGGTTTTATGCTTTCATAATTTGAGATATTTTTTGAAGTAAGGTCAGTTTTCAATGCTATAATTGGTATACTTCTTTAGATATTTGTATAAGGCCTTGGTTCGTTATTTTTGAGAGGTTTATTGGTTGGTCTTGAAATGTAGATAGTCTCAATGATACCTCAAACTGGAAACTTATCTTTCTATTGATATGTTTTATTTGTTTTAGCTAGTGGTATTGAAGCTAGTCAGATAGCAAGTTTAGGAATAGCAACACAAAGAGGAACATTTGTAACATGGGACAGGTACTTTACTTTATTACCCTTTTCAAGATCATTGATCTATTGCATTACCTCCCTTCCCTCTATTTCTTGATTTTACTATTTACATATCAACTCATCTTACAGAATTCTGTATAATTATGGATTTTTTTCAGTGAAACAGGGAAGCCCTACCATGATTTTATGACTTGGTTATTATTGTTTCAGTGAAACAGGGAAGCCCTACCATAATTTTATAACTTGGTTATTTTTATTTCAGTGAAACAGGGAAGCCCTACCATAATTTTATAACTTGGCAAGATTTAAGAGCCTCTGATCATGTGAAGTTATGGAATAATTCTTATACAATGAAAGTAAGACATTTTTATAGTTTTGAAGCTGTGATGAGAAAGAATATATTAATAATGATAAATGAGGAAATAAATTCTGCTTTGTCTTTTGATAAGACAAATGACCAGAAAAAGCAGAGTAAGGTTTTGTTACATGACAAAGCAGTATTTATTAATGTTATCAAAATGTAAAACTGTTTATTGGGTCATAATGATATTAGTGATGATGATGATGGTAAAATATACTCAAGAATAACATCACTGGTTCTGTAAATATAAAGAATTACAATCAAATTATTGATAAGTCTAGAATTCAGAGGTCAAGGCTTGAACTATCACTGTCAGTATTTCTAAACCATTAATTTCTTCTTCTTAGGCCTTAACTTCAGGATCCAAATTTTTACATCTTATAACAGGAAAGAAAAGATATTTAGCTGCTAGTGTTTTGAAATTTTTAACTAAACAGGTAAGACCAGCAATATTTTAATGTTTTTAAGCTCATATTCCTGACCTTTTTTGTTTGAAATAGAAATTTTGATAGTGCTATAACAAACTAGAAGCTATGACTGGTTGTTTTGTTGGTTGGTAGATGATAAGTTAAAGTCTGCTTCCAGCTAACTGATACTACAGTTTAGGTAGTTGGATTGCAAATTTCTGAACCCCCTAGTCTAGTCAAACAACAAGTTGCATTTTGTTTCATACCACTATTATGGACTGATACTGCTTAAATTGGTTGATTAGGATCAGGATAAATTTGATGATTAGATATGCAAACAAAATGTTTACTATAGGCCTACTAAAGTTTTACTTATTTTGGTATGTTTTTGTTTTAGGTTACAATGAGATTAATATGGGTATTTCAAAATATACCAGAGGTACGTTATAATAGTTTCCTTTAGGGTTAATAGATACTAATTAAATCACGATTCCGTTGACACGGTATCATTCAATTTGATTGGATAACAGCGGTCACATGCATTCGGTTTATATCTGTGTAAACAGACTACTTTTATCATCTAGTTTGATTGACGTATATACAGTGTACACAGGTTTTTTCTATTTATTCATCGATAAACTGAAAATATGTTCAGGTCATTCCTTAATTGTTTTAATACGCTGTTCACTCTAATTATCTGACTACAATAATTCATAGAAGCTAATGTTGGGTGAATTAGATATTTTTCCTCATTTCACACTGCATGGCATGGTTTTCATTAGCCCAATCAGGTTCAGAAAAGTGGGGATGTAAAACTGAAAAATACCTGTATATTATCATGAAAAGTATGGTATGCAATATGCATGTGTTTTAGTTACGTAAATATGCAGCTGAAGGTAAATTAAGGTTTGGTTGTATTGATACATGGTTGCTATGGAAACTAACTGGAGAAAAAGTACATGCTACAGATTATTCTAATGCTAGTTCTACAGGTTTATTTGATCCATTCCAGGTAATTCACATAAACATACTCTAATGTCCTCCAATGTTGAAGATGGCCAAATGTCTAAGACTGCAAGACTCCTAAATTAGATATGCATGCGATATTTTGCGGAACTTGAAATCGATGATATTTAGTATTTTTCTACATTATTGAGATGCCAATGGAGTAGAGTACATAATGATATACAAAACTGACCATAGGACTACCAAATAAAGACACCCCCCTCTAATAAGCTGGTTTATTTTATGTAAATGTGATTATATACCATTATAATAAATGTTTTTGAGCGTTAAAAAGTTTTTAACATCATATATATTTCATTGTAATGTTGTAGATAGAATGGAGTGGTATAGTTTGTAATTTAGTTAACATTCCAATGTCAATATTCCCTGAAGTTAAAGACACAAGGTAAATAAAAATTCTGAATCATGTTGTACAAATATTGTATATATTAGTCTATTCTGGGCTTAATAAGTTTTAAACCAGCGAGTTAAGATGATTGGTAATTCATAACACCCAAACTATTAACTGAGGTTCTACCCACTATTAATACAGATTCAAAATATTGGTGTGCATTTCAGATAGTAACTTCTCCAAATTAGACCTACACTTTCTATCAAATGATATGATATTCATTTTAGCGGACATTTTGGTTTTACAAGTGAAGAGTTAGTTGGAGTTCATATTCCTATTACATGTTTGGTAAGTTAATATCTAAATAAAATGAAATGAATTGAGTTTTATGTCCCTTTTTACTGCACAATGTGGGCTTATGAAAATGCCATACAGGATGCAATGAGGGAAATTCTGCCAGGACAGCAGCATTAGGCTGCTCTTTTTTCGATTTCCAACTGTCGAGGGATCTTTGATGTGCAAAGCCTGTAACACACAGGGCCTCAGTTTATTGCCCCATTCCAACGACTAGACGCTTTTTCCATGTCAGCCTCTCTTACCTGTATCACTGACAGGGGGAAGCAGTATATACAGTCCACAAGCATTTGCAATTGTTACCTTAATAGTTACCCTAAATTTCAAACAGAACAATTTGATATAATCTACTTATCTTGTTTTTGAAGGTAGCCGATCAACAAAGTGCCTTATTTGGTCATTGTTGTTTTGAAGCAGGTGATGTTAAGGTTACTATGGGAACTGGAACATTTGTTGATTTAAATACTGGTAAAACACCTCATGCATCAATAGCAGGTCAGTGTCTTTTATTTAATTTTAGCCAGAAAAGTCTTTTTTTGAAGAAAACTGTTCCAGCGAGTGAATTAGGGTTGGTAGATGGAAAGTTAATGTCTGCTTCCAATGCCATGCTGCTAGCATGTTATTCATGAAATTCTTATCATACAGTCAAGTAACCTAATTTCGTGCTAACCTATTTTTCGTGCATTTCCGGAAAGGATTAATAATTTACATGTGCAACCTCGCGTGACCTCCGCGTTTGCTTGTTTTGATAAACATGGGTTTTATCTACAATATCAGCTAGTAGAATGAATCCAGTAGTTTCAAGCATGGTAAAATGTATTAATGTATACTTTGACAAATACAGTTATTACCAAACGTCACCATTTTTTATCGGCCAAATTTCCTTATAATCCCAAACGGTAATCGGAATTCCAAGTTTCGTCTGCTAGAATGTAGTCCAGCGAATGAAGTCACATGATCAACTAGCGGATTCCATGTCAGCAGAAAATTTCTATGGAACACAAAATGGGCCATATTCTTATGTTGTTTCAGTGACTTTTATCAATAAATCACGCTACGTATCTTATTTTGTCAGTCACTATTTTTTTTTAAATCGTGGTTCTTTCAAGGAATTGTCATTAGTTATAATGAATTGATATTAAAGATAAATACTAAGAGAAGTTAATTATACCACCAGGTATCCATACAACGTGTTTTTCTAGACTTATTTATAGATCAAACATTGTACACGAAAATAGGTGACGCATTCTGCCATCTAAGACATAAAAATAAATTTCGTTTTTTGTAACTTTGACGAAATTCGGTGTTGAATCCTTATATGCACGAAAATAGGTTACACCACTGTATTACCTTTATTGAAGAAACCACCCTTTTTCATGCAGCATCAGCCAGAAAAGTTAATTGTGTTGAAACGTCATGTACTTTTGTTATCAAAGAAGATTCCTGGTTTTTTTTGTTGAATACTATTTGTTAAATAACTATATAACAAGTTTATAATTCATCTTCAGGTTTATATCCAGTAATTGGTTGGAAGATTGGAGATGAAATGACCTTTGTAGCTGAAGGTCAGGCAGCTGATACTGGCAGTATATTAGAATGGGCTCAATCTATAGGTAAATATTTTTAAGCACTGGCTATTTGCATCATCACATATTTTCTTTGTTGTCTGTACCGTTGTTTGCAGCCAATGGGAGCCCTTTTTTTTTCTTGAAGCATGAAGCCATTTTGTCAAAAATGCAATAAGTGACTTTGTATGGGTTAGGAAGGAATGGCGATATGTTAAATGCTGGTGCAAATTATATTTCATTATATAAATAGTAAATACCCATGTTCTTCTTGCTGTTTGAATTTGTTTTTGTGTGATTGATAACCAATATATATTATATATGTATATTGTAGGTGTACTAGATGATATAAGACAATCATCTGATATAGCTCAGTCAGTACCAGGTAATTATAATATACATATACTTTATAATTATTGACTTCAAATGTAATGAATGGACTCAATTTATTGTCCAATTCAAACACCTAGACGTATTTGCCATGTCAGGGTTAAACATCCAAAAGTATTATCTTGACATATGCCTGGAATAAACCCAGTGTCCCTGTGGCATTTCTGGCCATGGACCCCCACAGAAAAGAGGCTGGCCTGACTTTGGCCAAAAAAACCTATAAGACAAACTTCTTCTTCTTATTGCCACTGACTTGAGATTTTGTATTTTACAGACAGTGGTGGAGTATATTTTGTACCAGCATTTAGTGGAATACAGGCCCCTATCAATGATGATAAAGCTACAACTTGTATGATTGGTATGAGTCCACAGACCACCAAGGCTCATATAGTCCGATCTATATTAGAGGCTTTAGCATTTAGATTTAAATTACTGTATGAAACTATATTAGTCGAGACTAAAATACCTTTATCACATATAAGGTAAGATACTCAATTACACAATTCTATATAACACAGAGAAATCTGTAAGCGATATAGCACTAAAGCGTTTTGATATCCCGTGTACATACAAAGTATTTGATAGGTTTTATGCTGCCATGGCACAATCTAGTGAATAAGTAGGTAAAGATTGCATTTGTAAAAGCAAGTGTTTGGATGATACAATGATGCTTACCACAGCTTAAATGTTGAAATACTAGCAACAGGGCATTGTTCAAAAAATAATCCTACTGTAAGAATTTTATATTAGAAGTACCACACTTGCAACAAACTTGATTTTTTGTGAAACTAGACTTAGAAGTCCACAATATAAATACCTTACACATTTCATTTTTGTAATTTCCTATACCACTGTGAATTAAACCTGACCGAAACTATGTGGTTTATTTACCATTATTATTCACTCTCTTAGAGAGAAAATGATTTATTAATAATCTGTATGTTTACAGAGCTGATGGTGGAGTGACACAAAATGATTTTTTAGTCCAGTTAATGTCTGATTTGGTAAATCAGTCTGTAGAAAGATCTAATGATGCTGATATAACAAGCCTTGGTGCTGCTTTCCTAGCTGGTCTAGCTGTTGGTAAGATTTACAAGTTTATACTTCAATGATACCCATCAATTCTTTATACATGTATTAGAAAGGTTATACTAGGTTTCCACTGTTCGGAACTTCACCATTAGTCATTGGAATTTCTCTGAAATCTCAAGTTTTGATGATGATCAGCCCAATAGTCAATTCATTCTTACCATTTGTTGAGCTAGTTTGCAACCTAATCATGCGTTGTCAATTTTGGTGATGGATTAGCATAAGCCTCGGCTATTTATATTCTGTAAAAATTATATGTATAATAGAAATAAAATACTATTTAAATCCGATTGTCAATTTCGATGAAAAGCAGTGTTTATAAGAGATATCATTAACAGTATCTGTATTTAGTATAAACATGTACTTGATAAAATATATCAGTAACTGTATCTGTATTTAGTATAAACATGTACTTGATAAAATATATCAGTAACTGTATCTGTATTTAGTATAAACATGTACTTGATAAAAGATATCAGTATCTGTATCTGTATTTAGTATAAACATGTACTTGATAAAAGATATCAGTAACAGTATCTGTATTTAGTATAAACATGTACTTGATAAAATATACCAGTAACAGTATCTGTATTTAGTATAAACATGTACTTGATAAAATATACCAGCAACAGTATCTGTATTTAGTATAAACATGTACTTGATAAAAGATATCAGTAACAGTATCTGTATTTAGTATAAACATGTACTTGATAAAAGATATCAGTAACAGTATCTGTATTTAGTATAAACATGTACTTGATAAAAGATATCAGTAACAGTATCTGTATTTAGTATAAACATGTACTTGATAAAAGATATCAGTATCAGTATCTGTATTTAGTATAAACATGTACTTGATAAAAGATATCAGTAACAGTATCTGTATTTAGTATAAACATGTACTTGATAAAAGATATCAGTATCTGTATCTGTATTTAGTATAAACATGTACTTGATAAAAGATATCAGTAACAGTATCTGTTTTTAGTATAAACATGTACTTGATAAAATATACCAGTAACAGTATCTGTATTTAGTATAAACATGTACTTGATAAAAGATATCAGTAACAGTATCTGTATTTAGTATAAACATGTACTTGATAAAAGATATCATTAACAGTATCTGTATTTATTTAGTATAAACATGTACTTGATAAAAGATATCAGTAACAGTATCTGTATTTAGTATAAACATGTACTTGATAAAAGATATCAGTAACAGTATCTGTATTTAGTATAAACATGTACTTGATAAAAGATATCATTAACAGTATCTGTATTTAGTATAAACATGTACTTGATAAAAGATATCAGTAACAGTATCTGTATTTAGTATAAACATGTACTTGATAAAAGATATCAGTAACAATATCTGTATTTAGTATAAACATGTACTTGATAAAATATACCAGTAACAGTATCTGTATTTAGTATAAACATGTACTTGATAAAAGATATCAGTAACAGTATCTGTATTTAGTATAAACATGTACTTGATAAAAGATATCAGTATCTGTATCTGTATTTAGTATAAACATGTACTTGATAAAAGATATCATTAACAGTATCTGTATTTAGTATAAACATGTACTTGATAAAAGATATCAGTAACAGTATCTGTATTTAGTATAAACATGTACTTGATATATTCCAGGTGTATGGAACAGTAAAGAAGAACTGTGTGAATTAAGGGGAGATAACACTATATATAATCCACAACCCACTTGGAAAGATTACAAATACACATTCCATCAGTGGGAAAAAGCTGTATCTAGATCACTGCATTGGTACAATCCAACTTAAAGGAATGCTGAGAACTTTCTGTTGACTACTAAAACTGCTTGGACTCAGGGTTTAATTTAAGTGGTATCGCATTGCAGTTTGCAATTCTAACCCTTTTGCGATCCAATATTTCCTATGATTGGTTTAAATTAAAATTCCTCACAACGATCTGTGAATCAGAACAATTCAATATTTGATAGATAACTGGAACATTTTTAATTGCTTCTGAATATAAAAAAATGTGAATCAAAATTTAAATTTAAGCCCAAACTAAAAATTGGTATGATAAATTGCTAATTGCTTGAACTTGTTTTAAGTTTTCTCAACCATATTAAATAAAGATATCTCTAAAGAGTAAACATTACCAGCTTCAGGAATATACAGAATCATCTTTCTCTGTAAAATACTATCATGATTCCTTAATTGACAGTGGCATTGGAGCCTTGCTAGAGTTAAAAACAATAGGAAGCAATAATTGTTGAATTACTGCGATGTTGGAGGTATGAGCAGTTAAGTACATAGCATTAACAGTTGTTTTTATTCTCAAGCTTGTTACTTCAATAAGCACTTGATCAACCACTCAATATTTTAGTGTCTGCGTGATGCCAACTTGTTGATATTTTCGTCAGGACGAGATGTGCATTACGAAGACGTGACAGAGAATTTTTACAAGTGTAGAGAGAATTCAAAATGGAGTAGAAAGAAATAGATGGAAAAATTTTGAATGGCATCTGCTCCTGTACTGTTAAATTGAGGCCAAAATTGAAACCAACAGAACCTGTTCAGAATTCTCCAATGCCACCCTGATGTACCTGAGGTTAAGAAAGACTTTTGTTATTTACATTAAATATGCAGAAATGTCCTGAAAGGATTTCATTAAAAAATTTCGAAATGAAAATAATATATTATGTAAATTGTTTTATGCAAAAATGAAATGTAACTGGATATGAAATGTTTTTCTTTGTTATTACCAGTATATTTTTCTACAAGATATAAATATTATTATTATTATTATTATTATTAGTTAGAAGTATAGAAATGATTTTTATAATAAAAGTTTCGCTATCTTTGTCTTGTGTAAAAATAATAATCCTGTATTTAGTCTTCCATAACATCTGCTTAGCATCCTATTGTACCTGTTGTATCACATGAGAACTGAAAGAGGTTGGGAACCACTGATATACTATAACCACTTGAGATTATAAATAAGACTGATAGTGAGTTGAATTATTATTTAATGTCAATTGGCATACATTGATCTCTATCACAATTAATATCTAGTAATTAGTATATAGCTCATCTACACTTACAGCACATAGAACTTTATATAAAATAATGCCCATATAACAGTATATCAATACTATTTTCATTAAATATTCCACTTACATCAGCTAAATGCCCTATCACCATAGCGATAATTGGTTAGGTATGAAGGTGATTGTGAGAACTGAACACAACTCACAGCTGAGTGGACTGAGAGTTGAATTTAAAACTTATGACCACTATTCTTATTCTCAACAATACACAACTAGTGATCACTATGGTGTAAGGGCACCTGTTGTCTTGTCAACAAGAAAATATTGGCATACCATGATTAATTTCAAACCAAAACAACCTGTTTCTAGTCCAGCAGTGATATTGTTCACCTCCATGTCTGATTTTAAACCTAAACTCAACTGTCTATTTTGGATAGAATAAATCATTATTAAAATTAGACAAGCTAGTTATTCATTGTGTTGATTACAACTAAAAACTACCTCAAAATAACCTAGGCTGTTTATATTTTTTGTTATAAATCACAACCAGATGTGCACAAATATAAATCATACAATGGAATAATTAATTGACAGGTTTCAGATATGACTTGCAATGTAAATAGACTTCACTCATCATAGTGCATCAGTCAGTGCAAATCAGTGAATTTTCTATGTTTCCAAGACAAAAGGCTACATACATTATAATAAATATCACAACAAGTAAATTTGTTCGTTGTCACTAGCTAACAAATAATTCTATGCATATATTTAGTTCTAGTTCACATTCTTGAAGATTTGCTTTATTAGTTTTCAATACTATGTTTTATGTCATTCACTATATCATTTCATTGTAAATGTAAAACTATTGGATGCAAATCTCCAACAATCTGACCTTTGAACCTAATCACTATAATTTGATCAATAATATTTTGATTGTATACTACATGGCTAAGGCAAAGTGTTGATAAAGCTGCTATAAGAATGCAACACATCATTTTCATACTAAATACTTGAGAAATATCTGCAAATTTAGACACAAAATACAGCTTGAAAAATATTCATTATAAGCATAATTCAATAGATTCCATGACGTGCTAAATTTGATCAAAGCTTCAGTAAATACCCCGGTAACTCAAATCAAGCTGGAATTTCATATTCTAATATGATATCTGTGTCGGCTTTTCAAGGTAGGTTATACACCACCTAATTTAATCTAATATTTGAAACATTTTCTTATGAATTTGTTTCCTCTTAATCCACAACCAGCCAACGGTATTTGAAATATGGAATGTACTGAAATTTCATATTAAGTTTGTTCGACTGTCAACACCTTTCTATCTCGAAGAGGAAGTGGAAATACCTTGTTATTATCTACATAGATTATTTACATATTTACATATAACAACTATTAACATAACTATAGTTAAACAAAGATATTTATACCCATATACAGGAAAAATTCAAACATAAAAACAGTCAGCTTTTGTATAGTCTGGTTTTTGATTTTTCATTTGAATTGCCCCACTGGTCCTGTACGGAAAATATATCCAAATCAACAGTCCTGTATAGTGTGTAATAAATACAACATAATACACATTACCAGCTTGTTTAAACTTCAATTTATTCCACTCCAAAACAAAATAGACTTGTTTCTGTTTAAAGACAGGTCACATCATTAGAATATAATAAATATCTTTGTCTAACTTCACTTAAATAATAACATATCTATCTACAATACTATCAGTAACTCAATGATAACAATATACAAATGAAAATCAAATTGAAACTCATGATTTGAGTTGAAACTGGCTTCCAGTCACTTTATTACAGATAATAGCACAAGTATAAAAAAAATTCCCGGGCTGCAAGCACACAACAATGATGCCAAAATTTAACTAATTGTAGATCTATATTCAGCAAGATTGGTAAATTAAAATATGGTGTTGAATTATATATATTTAGAGTGCCCTATTATTGTGACTTGCAAAAGAACAATAGAGTATTAAAAAACTCTTTATCTTAAAGATGATGTAAAAAGAAAGTATACAATGTAAATAGTACATAAATAATATCAATAACTTGATCTAAACAAACAAAAATTATACAGACTGGCTGATATCTACATTAAGATGATCAAAATATGAACTGAAATAACTTCAATACCTTCAATATGGTTTGCATAAACAAAACTTATTTTGGCAAGATAAATAATATTAATTTTTCTACAATATTTTTAATACAAATTTCCTTCTTTATCACAGTGTACATGTAATATCTAACTAATTGCCTTTAATAAAGTCACATGATTTAATACTCCAATCACATGATCATATTTCCATGGTAACAAATTCGAAATATTTTATTTATTCAAATCCATACACCTCCACTACTTTACATGTAAAGTCTTTCGTAGCACATAAAGCCTCATTTTCAAAAGTATCACATCTCTCAGAACGACAATGTTCTAGATTTTCATCTAATTGTATCGCCTCACCACTTCTATAATACAAAATATAATATACACATCATCATCTCAATTCAATATATTGGAAACACAAAAGACCAGCACAGCTGGTTAACCTCTTAGGAAATAATAAGGACCAAAACTCAGTCTTCTACCTATTTGTCTGGTGCTGCCACTGGCGCTAACTGGTATGAAATATAGAGAATTTTTAGTAAGATTGTTTGAGGACAGATTAACTTTCAGCTGACTTATATCACAGAGTAATATTAGTAAAAATATGAGGAATAGTGACCAATGAATAATGAAATACCTACCCTCCTCCAATAGTCATAACAGAGTTATCTCCTGCTAGAAACATACTAGCTGTCCTCTTAATATCTTCATTTAATATACCAACCCATTCATACTTCTCTTTCTTAGGATACAGAGAGAATACAAACGTTTCACCAGTTCCAAAATACGACAAGTTTTTATTACTAGATTTTCTCTCACACCAGGAAGCTGAACAAAACGCTCCAAAAATCTGAAGTGTGAACAACCCATATTTATCAAGATTTATATGAAAATAAATCAAAATAGATATTAAATTGATTGTAAAGAGGTTTTCTAAAAAAATTATGTATATAGGGGGACAGTGGTTCTTGCAATACCACTTAAGCTATGCGTTTTTTTACTATCGCAAAGGTAGATGTAAAATAATGTCAGAGTTTTGAAGAAGGAGAAAGGTAGGTCTTAAGATACAGTTTATATAACAGTTGAATACCAACCTCTCCTACTGTAGTTTGTATAACTATAATAGTTTGATGATAATCCTCTACTTTACTATATAGTGTACGTAAACTAGTACCATGTTCCTCTGATGTATATAGTAACGTAGGTTGACAAACAGCTAGACGGGGTGGTAACCAACTCCATATTAGATGTATCTGGAATAGAATAGAGAATTCATATAAAGTCCTGTTGTCTTGTTACATCCTTGCAGTTCAGATAGGAACTCTATCATATTAGGTTAATGAAGACAAAGTCAAATACAAGACTCAGGTGGCCCAGTCCATTGTCTTCCTCCACTCTCAGATTTCTTATCATATTGCATAGGGAAACATTTTTAGGCCCCTACTCTCTCCAAACCTAATGGCACAATTACATCAAATATTTCATCTACAATACATTAGAAAATTTATCTCTTAGTAACTGGTAAAAAGCTTATAATAATTAAAACTTCCTCAAAATAGATAAAATTTGATAATCTTTTAAACTTGAAGGTTAAATAAAGTGACAAAAGGATACAAATTATTTTATTATTAACATTAATATGTGATAAATTTTACTTTCAGATATTTTTATCATAATCATGTCTTCCTATTGTCTATTTGATCAACATCAATGAAAGAAAATGTTGGTCAATTTTTTTTACCACCAAACAATATATATATCCCACTTCACAAAACAACATCAAAGTACATTTCTTTATGATAAAAACATAATCCATTGAAAAACATAAACAATGCATTGCATAAATAAACATGAAAATAAACGTGCAGTATAAACCAATAGTAAGTTATTTCATTGAGAAGTAATATTATTCAGTATTTCATTGAATATTTTCATTGAATACCTAAATAATCAACAACTAAAATATTAGCAACAACAATCAGCAACAACTTCAATATCAATATCAAATTTATCATCATTGTTTCCCTCTCTTTTTTAATTGATAAAAAAGAAATTGTTTTTATTTATTGAAAATGAATATCTTAAAATATATTTTAAAAAAAGTCACAGAATTTCTTACTTATTGTGCAAACATTTCCTTTTTTAGGAACCCAAATTGAAATTTATTTATCTAAAAATACTGGTGGGGAGTAAATATGTGCATTTGTACATCTACCGAATAACTTTTTCATAATTCATGAATATTGAGCCATTAAATAAGCGATTTTTCCATATGAATCTTCCATGGAAATTCACAATTAACAAGTACTGTGTATTTGAATGTGCAGTCTTTTTACCCTAAAAAGAGCCATGCTGCAACTAGAATATTTAAACTTAATAACATGCAATGTAACAATGTAACAGTTTGTGCTCTATACTCACATCCTCTCTATCTAATATATGACTTTTATTATTATTAAATATATACATCCCTAGAGATCGTGACCGCGATCTCACTGATCCTGCCTAAATAAAACAGTTAATATTCTTATGTCTCATGTTAAACTTATGGTTAAGAATCATAAGTTTCGAAGGCAACTCTCATGCAACTTTGAACACATGACCACTTTAATCATTCGCAACCATTCAATTATCTTTCACTGGTAATCACGACGGTGTGAGAGCAACTTAAAGAGATTGTAAAGAGGTTTTCTAGCCTTAGTATGTATATTGGGGACATTTTTTACTATTTTGGACATTCCAATTATTTGTCAAATGCCTGTGGTTCCTGCAATTCCAGAATGAATTTGTAACCATTACACCAGACCATAATAACATAATATGCTATCTCCCCTAAGAAGATGGCAGCCAGAATTGTCAACACATTCACATATTGATTCATTAACGCTTTACGTCTTAAATTGCTTAGTTTTAATGGAATGGAAGAGTTGAATGATATTTGTGCAAATCAGAGAGCTCTATATCCTTAATTATGATAAAATGGGCCGTTTTGAATACATTGAGGCGAACATTTGGTAAATCATGTCAGTCCAGTAAATGACTAACTAACTGGACTAACTAACTAAGTCAAGCATTACCAATATTAGAAATAAACATGAGAAAATATACATACCATTTCAATATTGACCACACTGGAGCCCAGATTCTGTAATATGATTGGTCCACTGAATGACCTTGACAATGGAAGTGTAACACCATGAAAAGATCGATGAGATTGACTTCTGGAGATTTCATGATTTGATAATACAGCTTTACTATTGACATACATTTCATTTTTAACTTGTAATTTCTTTATCTCTTTTCTTGTTAAACCACGAATACCAAAGGCTACCTAAAAACATGGACAAAAAATATTGTCAAAAATAAAAATCGTCATTATTATATTCTATACTAACTTATGGAAAAAATCATCGTTATCATTAGCTCATTTTTCAAAATTAATGCAATCTATTTAAAGCTATAGTGACAAGGATTCAAGTTGTATTTATCAGATTTAAAAAATAATCCAACTTTTTAAATAAAGGAACAACACCTGAGTTACATTGTACATGTTTCAACAATTTACATTGTCATCATCAGGAGAAAATGATGGCTATATAAATTGTTGAAATGTTTATACCATAAAATTTTGTTTCTTTATCTCTACCCTAAAGGCTGTTTAAGGATTAATCAAACTAACGAAAATGGGAAATAATTTGACTTTGATATAAGTTATTTACCTTGAGTAATTTGGTAATACTGATACATGATGGCATGGTTTCACAGAAATGTTTTATATTACTGGAATGATTGGAACCAAATACTTGTTGTTGACCACTCACTCTTTTATCTGAAATAAACATAAATATTAGCTGTTTGCTTAAATTGATTTTCAGAACTTCAAATCATAAATGAGAAAGTCATTGCAAATAATGATAAGTGGTATCAGGTGTCTAGAAGAGTAAGCATACTCTGCCCAACCCACTATTGTTGCTCAGTATTATACACAAAATAAGAAGGTAAAAGGATATTCCATGTGGCATTCATTCTCTGATGATCATTACAGTCACAAACTTTTTCACATAATGATGTTTCTATAAGAGTAATGTCTAAAGGGAATACTAAATTGTGCACGAACAAAATTCACACCTGAACAGTAATTTGGAGATGGAATATTAAAGTTATTCCTATCAACCCTGACTTTCTGACATATGAAAAATATGATTTCCTCGCCAATCATTTTCAAGATTGTTTGCCATCAAATAATACAATCATTCAGTGTGTGATCTTCAGACAACTGATCTATTTCAGCTTGCATCCTTACTGAAGTTTGTCAAGTAAAATTCAGGTTCTGTTTTAATATTCAATATCCTTCTACAATTGATGTATTGAGCACCATCTTAATAGTGAAAATATTTTATTATTGTAATCCAATGAATAAGCAAATAACATATGAAAACTTACTGTTATATTTGGTATATAATATCAATACAGCTAGAGCCACACGATATAACACTTTTACACCTTCCAGTAGGAAACAATCAACAATTTTAACCTAGACAGGAAGACAATATGAAATTAGTTAAAATATGATAATAAAACAGTAGGATATCAATATAATCTGGTCCAATATCAACCAATAATACATCTTTAACTTCATATATCATTTAAAGGAATGTACCTTGAAATAATTTTCAACATTTTTGACTGGATTGAGATATCATTCAACTGGAAATAACTTTGCTAACAAAATATTGCAAGTTTAATGATATGGTAAAATCAATTTCTGTAATTTCTTTGGACCAAATTAACACATTTCAGCAAAAATATGTCTGTATACTGATTATTTCTTTTTCCAAAAATTAGTCATGTTATAATTTCTTATAGGCTCTACACAAATATAAATTACCTAATACAAACAAGTTAGTCAATTTAATTATTTTCTGTACAGGGATTATAAAGAGATTTTCTAAATGTTATATTGATATTAGATTCAATGAGGCCATCAATAGGCACCTTTTTTTTCGCCAGACACCTGCAATTCCATGAACATCTGAGTGAAAATGGTGCATATTGATACTCTCAGTGTCCCTGATGTACACAAACATTTTAAATCCTCAAAAACAACAATAAATTGAATTATGAACCAAATTAGTTTGATGATTATTGATTATAAAAATTGCATCTAGTAAAATTTACTGTAGAAACTTTACCTTGAATCATCTGATAGTAGAATCCTTAAATATTTACTGTTTACATCAAATTATTAAACACAAATAAGAGATTAAAATACTATATTAGAAACCATACTGAACATTATAAGAATAGACAATAGGATTAAATATTACTATTTCAATTAACTTTTAACCTTCTCAGTGGACAACTTTAATAAACAAATAATTTATAAACAGTGTATCACCAGGTAGATTTAATATCAATTGTTTATATTTATTATTAAACAACCTTTCAATATCAAGATTTTTCTTTCTATTTTACATGTTTCTGAAAAACATCAATTTTTAATGATAAGTTTACAAATGCTTCTATATCAGTTTTTTTTAACCAAATATTTCAGGAACTGTATATGTTTCTTCCTGAAGTCCCATATTAAAGGGTAATATCTAAATGAACAATTTTATTGATTATCAAGTACACATCTTGTAATATTAAAATATAGTTGAAATATAACTAAATAATATTTGTTTTCTATCATTTTGTAACAAGGAAAACAATTTATAGTTTACCTGGTCTGCATACAGTTAGAAATAAATCCACATTTTACAGAAAATATTTCATAATAAAATAATGATATGATCAAAGGTTTTATCTTTATATTTCCTTGTTAATTTTTACATCATTTGACATAATCTTATTTCACTACTTTTATTTTCTTTAAGTATGATTTCATTTTTCAAATTACAGAAAAAGGACAATTTTAAAGCTTTGATTTATAGGAAAGACAGATCAACATAAATATAAGGAATGAATGTGGATCTTTTTTGTTATGATGAATTACATGCTTCTTTATCACAAGACAAAACCTTACATGACCCTCTTTGTCTGGTTATTTGTCTACATGACAAAACTGGGTTCATTTCCCACAATGATAACAAGATCCATACTTGTTTCTTCATTAAAATCATATTTTCAATACTTACAACAAATTCAAATGGTAAATCAGAAAATATCCACCAAATCCATCTATCAAATACACTATCAATATTAGATGTCTGTCTTAATATAAATGTATAACCTGATTTCTGAAATAAAGTTACAAGACAATAACCTTATATTTCTTGTAGATATAAGAATGAAATAGTATCATTGAGGTTACAGGACAATATAAGTCTTACAGATCTCAGGAAAGTTTGAACACTTCTCCTCAGTTAGAATGATAAAATAATTAGAACACTTCTGTCTACTCAGTCATATTAGTAGTAAAATGTCTTGTCTTAACTCTATCTCATGAACCGTTTTTGGCATGATTATAATGAATGATCTTATAAATCTTTTACTTGATCAAGAGTTGTATTTTAGTTGATTTGTTTCTATAGTCTAATAACATACATATTAATCAGATATAATGTTTACTTACTGCATGTTTTTTGGCCAAATCCCTGAAGACTAATTTTGAAGCATTCCAAGCCACCTTGGTCTGCATTAGATAGGTCATATCTTTACAACGTAACAGACCATAGAGACAGTTAAAACATTCATTAGAATTCATATAATGTAGAAAGAGACAAGCTAGTGAGAATACTGGGGGACAGTAGGTAATATCAGGGTTCATATGGTTTAATACAGCTAATATCTTGGCTACTTCCCGTATACCATCATTAGTCAGGTAATATGGTGTTAGATGAGCGTGGTCTATAAAACCTGGTAGAGCTATATCTTGTATATTGTCTGGAAATACAAAACAGTTTCATGTTACAAATTGTAGTTTTTTAGAAATCTGATTTGTACATTTCAACATGCAGAAAAGATTTGCAAGACTTCTTGTAGCATGAAATGAAATAGAAAATAAAGTCCTACTTTTCTGCCTCTATTAAATTGGGCTAATGAAGGGAAATTTACCAGGACAGCATTTAGTGCTTTAGGGCCACTTTTAAAGATAGCATCTTAATTGCAAAAAAACCTGGCACTATAACTTTCAATAATGCTTTTATTATCTCCTTTTAAAAACTAACCAGTTTTCTCTTTAACCCAAGTCTTATTTAAAAGACAAATGAGCCAAGACCATTAAAGAGAACAGTGACTCAAAGTTGAAACTTTCTATGATAAAGACACCATGACTAACTCTGAGACGTCAGCAAATGGTACTTGATAACATTAGACTTGAGAAAAACAATGCCCTTGATATGTATACACAATTAGAAAAGAAAATAATAGAAAGGGTATCCTTGTCTTATACCATGTCAGAGGTCAAGGAGAGCCACCCAAATTGAGGACAATTTTTTTTATCTTGATTCAGAAATTAGATCAGAAAGCAAACAACTTTCTATTTATACTTTATAGTAAATATTATTGTACAAGTGAATATCACCTCAGTCAAAGATCAATGGCAAATTTATAGAGTGGATCAAAGTGCACTGAAATTTTCAAAATTCATAAGTTGTCATGTAACTGCAGACTGCACTGACATAGTCATTTAAGAGCAACTCAATAAAAATTCTATAAAATTGCATCAAATTCTATTAAGATAACGTTTTTTTATTTTCTTTTATAATAAAACCAGATAGTCAAAATCTGTGTGGGGTAATCAAATTACTGGAAATTTTAGTACCAGTACATGAAAGGAATTTTTAACAAGATTCAGAAGAAATGCTAAAATAATCATTATCAAAATCAATGCTGACTTTCTACATATATTGTAAACTAAAGACAACTTAGCTTTATTATTAATTTGAGGCCGCAGATGCCATAAAGAACTAGTAAATACAATTTCAAGAGCATAGCAGACCAAAACAAATATGACTTCTGAAACTTACCATCAGGGAAAAGTTCTTGAACAATTTCTTCATAAATATCCCCGTCTGCTTTGTGGAGGTATCGACAGAGATTCAACCATAAAGATTCACGTATTTCATGATCAACCATCCAATATCGTAATCGTAAAAACTGTTTCATATGTTTAACACTGCCCAACTTCAACACTAGTATTAACTGTTCCTCAGAATCATCGTAAACCTCGGAAGATCCCGAGGTATCTGTAGATAACGTCACATCATGTTTTAATCCTTGTAACGACACAAAGTCTGTAAATACAGAATGGGAATCAGGGAAACTTGAATCTAATGGTGCGTTTCCATGTTCCTGTTTGTTGCCAGCATGATTCTCATCAGGGTGACTTGAATCCTGGTCGTTCCCATTTATAGCTGGATTTTGAACATCATGGTGTTCCTCAGTAATTTGGTTATTAGTCACTGGTCCTTGCATTGTTTGTCTTTACATAGCGACATTAACACTTCTTCTTACATTCTTCTGTTTCTTACTGAAAAACAACAGTATAAACTTCTTAGTGAAAGTCTTCAAATATACAACAATCTTGACCTCAATTTGCAAGATAGAAATTTGATCAGGCCTATTGAAAATAGGTCAAGTTCAGGACCGCATATTAAAACAGTCCACCACTATCCTCACAAACAAAGCACTTGTGGATTATCTACTATGTAAAGAGTAAAAACTATTTTAAAAATCTGGTAGTGTCCAAAGCTAAAACTTATCTTGAACAGGTTCTTTGATAGATTTTAGTTCAAAGCTGTTTATTGAGGCACATAAATTCCAAATCTTTCAATTTGTAACAAATTAAAGAAATTTACACAACTGACCCTAACTAACAAAAGCTATTTACAGATCACATGTTTAAACTTGTAGATCGTAAAGAGGTTTTCTTATTTTTGTATTTTCAGGGACACTGATAGCATCAATTTGCACCATTCAAATTTCCTATCAGACGTCTAATGTTCTTGACTGAAAATTGAAATGGTGCAAATCGATGTCCTCACGTAAGCTTACATAAAAAGATTAGAAAACCTCCTTACCATTTGCCTCTATCTACCATTATCAAACCTTTACTGTCACCTTTCAAATGTCTAGTCTACAAAACTCTTGTCAAGATTTTAAAAGAAAACTTTGAGTCAAAAACAACCCATTTGGGCTGTCTTACATGATTGGGTAAAGATAAAAACAAACCATATTTAAAGTTCAAGATGTTTTATCTATTTCCTTGTTTAAGTCAATGTAAAATATTTGATGTCATTACGCTCTTCCTTCACAAATAAACATCAAACAACTTAAATGAACATCTTCCTATTAGGTGTTAAAAAACTTTCACAAATTATTGAGATTTTTCTCAAGGCTTGTGTTCATTGTTTCTTATCTTTCACTTTTTGTTTTCTTCATAAATAAAACTCTTTCTAATATCCTTGACAATTTCTTCAAATATTATCAAAATTATTAACACAGATGCAACATTTTCCTTCTTCACGTGAAAATTCAATACAAAAAAAATGCTATATCTGTTATCTTTCTTTATCTGAGGTTTACAATCTGATCCTTCAAAGACATACTAGTCAACATATTGGAAAAAATGTCCCTGGTTAGGGTTCCACGATTATTTAAATCATACAAAAACCCAATAGCTATCAACCCATCTTTATATTATGCAATAATGAAAAATATTGCACTTTGTCTAGAGAAAAACACACATCGAAATAAACATGAAAATATTACGTCACAAAATAGAAACCTCATTTCATTTCACAAACATACAATATGATTCTGATCTTTTCAGAAATTTTACCAAGAGAAATGATACTACTTAAAAATCAACTTCCTATTTTTCCTAACTTTTTCACCTGTTTTAGCATGAATCTTTACTTTGTGAACCAGGCCAGTGCTTTTATGAGACTATGTTCTCATTACTATATAACAATAGTTAAAAATCAATACTAAAATATAAAAATTATAAAGTTTACTAAGTACCTGGTACCACAATTCTTTTATAAAAATAGGTTCCCATATGGTGTAACTTATTCTAACAATCTAAACAACTTATCCAAATAAACACTGTGCACAGACTGTATATCATAAAGACATGTGACACAGACTCAAAACAATATAAACATGCTGAATTCTATAACATGACATTTTCACATTACATCTTTAAACTTTCTGACAATTACGGATGCGAGACCTAAACAATACAAGATATTTAAAAAAGCGTAACCTGAGTATAAAAATAAACAGAGTGTATTGTTTACAGATAGTGGTTATGTTTACTATATAGGTGATATAAAACAATGGTATATTTATATCATATTAGTGTATATTATAACTCTGATGTTCTATCTACGTCCCATCATAATAACAACAAATTGCTCTGAAAATAATCATATATCAATAACTTTTAATAAGATAGCTTGCGAGGCAAGGTAACATATGCCCACTGGCAGCTGTCAGAAATGATAAAACAGTCTTTAGTGAATAAAGTATGAATTTTCTCATATTGGAGAAATTTTATTAGTTTGAATTCAATTATATGTATATATGCCAGTTATTTATTTCATGAATATAAATGATCACACCAAATTTCATTAAAATCAGTTCAAAAACTGTAGTCTCTATTGTGTGCACAAACAAATTTTGACGCATTTTTCCTAAGTCAAGGGCAATAACTCAACAACCATTCATATACCATTCAATACTTCAAGTTAGAACTTGTCCGAGATCTTATCAATTCCAATGATCACACCAAGATTCATCAAAATCGGTTATAAAACTGTAGCTTCTATTGAGCTCACGAACAAATTTTGACACGTTTTTACAAAGTCAAGGGCAATAAATCAAAACCCTTCATCGAGAGTGTGTCAAGTTAAAAGTTGTCTGAGGTCTTATTGATTCCAATGATCACAACAAGTTTCATCAGAATTGGTTGAAAAATGTAGCTTCAATCCTGCTCACAAAATATTTTTAACAAATTTTGACGCGTTTTAACGAAGTCAAGGGCAATATCTCAAAAACCGTTCATCGAAAATATGTCGAAATTCGAACTTGACCAAGATCTTATCAATCTAAAGCATCACACCAAGTTTTATCAAAATCAGATGAAAGCTGTAGTCTCTATAGTGCTCACAAGAAATGTTGACGGACGGACAGACAGACAGGGGCGACGACAATATATATCCACATATTCATTTTAACATCCGACACATTTTACAATCATTCAGTCAATAGTTACCAGTCAATTCAAATATGAAAACCTCTGCAGATGATGAAGAATTCTGAATTTTTGCACTGTCTAAAACATGCATCAAGCCCTCTTTTAGGGTAAAACAAACTTGTGCATCATACAAATAATTATACAGTTAACATTCACATTTGAAGGTATCTTGCTGAAAATGGTTGTTTTTAGAAAAAGAGTTTATTATAAAGTTTACATTTTTTGATTTTCAAACACGCAAGCAAATAGTCTTCAACAAAATAACGACAAAATGTTATCTGTGGTTAATATTTCTATTGCTTTATCTTGAATACTTCATTAGATCAAAGTTGCAAATTAATATTATAGTCCTTGTCAAGGTAACATCTATAGGTCAAATCAAGTTGGCTTACAGATCCATCTCACATTAATTATGTCCTTGTATATCCAAAAATTGGAGTACTAAAAATGCAGTGCATGAGAAAAATTGTCAAGAAACTACCATCGAAATAACAAATTACAAAACCTTAAATGTCCAGGAATGGGAATCAAGGATTTGTTCAGATCACATGACAGGATGCAGGTAAATGATCTTGTTCAAATACTTTAGCTAATTGAATCAAAAAGACCAATAGGTGACCTACCTTCAAGCTAATTAAATGGTATATAATACTGAAACTACAGAAAAAAAAAGTGACATAAAAAACATGAAACTGTTCAAGTACATCAAAACAGTTTCTTTATGACTAATAATAATTGTAGTACTTAATGATTTATGACTTCCCACCATCTGTGTCTAGAATGTACCAATAAACCTATAAACTGTGTAATAAACACTATGAAAAGACTATATTGATCATATAATAGAATAAATCAACAGTGTTTATATGACTATAATAACATATTGATCACCTTCCATTTTATTTACTTATTCTACAATTAATATATACTCTAGTGTACAGCTTTTAATTAGAAACAATCTTGTTCTCTTAACAAGCTGATTGTATAGTCAAACCGATATTGAATTAAAAAATATAGAAGGAACACAGTCAAAAAACACATAGAATAGAATCTCTATGCTTACTCTTTCGAAACACCTGATGGTACTTCTCCTTAAAGGATTCCACTTCTATACAACTATTACTCTCAACTTTGTTTTTCTGTAGAAAGAAAATAACATAACTACTCACTGTGAAACTGAAATAGGGTATGTGTCATAAAATTTAATCCCTGATCTATAAATTATTGATAAGAAAGTGGTCAGTTTTCACCTGGTAGTACTATCTAAGTTGTTTATTATAATTATCTATATTAGATTTAGTTACATGTTTACTGGCATGTTATACTACTCATCTACTAACACTGGCTGATAATTATTCACCTATTATCATTATATTGAATTTTATACACATAATTTATTCTTGATTTGTTATAATTACCAACCCAATAAAGGTAAACAAATTGCAATCATCATTAGTTTTCAAAAAAGTTTTATCAGTTATTTTAAATACAAAAGTGATAAATAATGTCTATGAAAGTCACACAAAATAACAAATTAGTCACTGGTGCCGGTACTGAATATTTTACACTTCTTAGAAACTGAACAATTTAACAAACCGGTACAATGGAAAATATGTTTAAACATATCACGAAAAAAACAATTACATTAAAAACTTACTAATGATTACTAGGTGTTTGTGGAGAAAGTTGATTAAAAGTCTGACATAAAGTTCCAAATGGAACAAAAACAGAAAACTATGCTGATTCTATAACTTGCTGCATACCTTTTTTTCAGTATTCAAATTCATATTCTTAAAGCAATAGAGTTACCAGTTGAGAAGTATTGAGAAATCTATATAATTATACTAATAGGCCTATATCTATTATCTTATTGAGGATGGTAAAATGTCATAACCTTATTACAAATCAAACAGTTAAAAGAATATAATAAAAAAAATGATCTAACTTAATCCTGTTCTTACAACAACCACCTTTCAATGATAAAGTAACATACCGGTACTGTTAGTACTGTTATTCTAATTCTAACAACAGAAATATTTCACAAGGTTTGGAGATAGTCGTATAATAAGTAGCTTACACAATTATCTATACTGTGTACATCCATCCATGTGTAAATATATCGTTATCAGAAAGCTGTTCAAACTTCCACAACTTTCATTCTGCAAGTGCAGATTAATGCGATCAAAGTAGTATCATTCTCTTCTGTATCAAGTCATTTTTCCGACTTGGTCGTTTGTAAGCCTAAAGAAGATTCTGTGAGTTTCCAGGGCTGGAAGGTTCTCAAGGAGCTTTTATTCTAAATAATTACAAACTATGGATACTGTTTAAGGCCTGGTAAACATACATGTATCAGTATTAAAATATATGATATGCTACAAAATAAAGTCTACATCATTTCCAACTACCATTACCAAATAAAAAATAAAAGGTAAATAAAAGGTAAAAAAAAGGCTGCACGGTCACTGTGCTATGGCCAGAGCCAGGCTGTCAGTAGAGACTTGGAAACAACCTAATGACCTTGCCAGTTATAATATTAATAATAATTGCAGGTCAGAGTATTCCAGAGGTAGTAGGGGCACGGGTCAAAATAAATTTGACAGGTCTTTGTCAGTGTCACCAATGTCAAGTCATTGACTGTTAGAGTCAGACTCAGACACTCGACAAGTTCTTGCAACATTATCAATATTTTTCAAGCTAATAGGTTCAGAAACAAAATAATGCAATGGCAAAAGCTCCATATTTCCACTATAGATAAATCTCTTACTTTCAATCTATCCTCCATTTAATCATACACCTATTCAATCACTTTTTTTTATCATTATCTTTATATTTTTTCTTCACTGCAACCATTTTTTTTTTATTCTTCTCGCGAGATATAACGAGAGTTATAGATGAAAGATCACGTGATGTAAACAAATCCATGTGCCAATGAAATACCGCCACGCCACGCCCATCTGTCAGATATATGGTAATCTATCACCCCTTCAAAACTAGTCGACTCTTCCACATAATTAAAGTTTATAAGTATACCCACAATGCATTTAGTTTATTCCAGAAAATGGCGTCGTCGAGTAGAGGGTTAGTGAAATAATGTTTTGTTACGATGTTAAATGGCTTTATTGTAATATCCATATCCGTTATCAGATTTGTAATTGATGTGTGTGATTTGTGGTGAATGAGAAAAATTGTATGATCTATTTTACTGATTTCTGTGACGGCCGGAGAGATTGGGGAAAGAAGCCCTCCTCTGCTTGTGTCGTTGTGAAGCTCTGGCTCATTTCACGTCTTATTTATAGTCATGTATATCGACATATCATGGCATTGATTCAATAAATAGGCTAATAGTAAATTACTGTAAATAGGCTAGATGATAATGAATATCATGATAAAGATTCGATTCGCCGTGTTATTTGTTGATTCAGGCTCATATTCAATTCCTCCAGTCCAGTTTTCTCTCTGCCTTAGTTATAGAATCACATGTCTTTTGATAACATATTCTCTTAATATTTCACCAACAAAAAGCAATTAGTAGCATACAGAGCCAAACAACTCTATTATTAATGTGTTTTTGTCATGTCACAGGTGTTTTGTTAACTTTCATGTGCAGTCACTATCTAAAATATTACATTCATAATAGCTTTTTACTAAGTTTAACTGAACTGAAAATTGCCCCTGATTGATAAGAATATACAAGACACCTCGGATCAAAATGAATTCGGACCACTTTTCATAACACACTCAGACCACTTTTTTCAAAACAAATGTGGGCGTATAAGATGGCCATCACTAATTTTTTTAAAGAGAATTATTTTTATTCATTTTTGACCATTAGGAATTGTTTAAAACATGGTCCCAGTGTGCCCTGAAAGTGGTTTGAGTGTGCATTGGTCCGAATTTGTTTTTGTTCGAGTTGTCCTGATTCCGTTGATAACACTCTGAAGACAGAGCCGACAGTATAAACTGGTATAAAATCTTCATACACTTATCGTAAAAGAGTCACGAGTCAGAATTTTTAATTCTAAACAGTGAGGTGAATATCTGAAATTCAGCTAACATTTTTCTGATGTCACAAAGCCAGCCATTTTTTATACCCCTTTCAAAAGTTCTAACTCTGCCAAATTCTATGAAATGTATTTGACTTGTAATATAATAGTTAATAGAATAAGCTAATTATTATGTAAGCATTTGTAGATCTATTGATTATAAATTATTAACATTAAAATATTCACTGTTCACTCATATCTTCTGATTTGTAATCACTAATCGTGTCTCATTACTTGTGAAGACTCCAAATTTCAAACAGATAATACTTCCAGTGACCTTATTTTAAAACTTTGCGGTTTTTGAGAATATTTTTCCTCAGTTTGCAGGATAAAATTTGTGACATAAGCCATGCTAGGAAAGATTTCTGATAAGGCCTACTGTTGATAGAAATATAGTGGCTAATCTAATTTTGTCTTTTAAAACAATCTTGTCTACAGTATAACACAGACGAAGGTGAAAGGTGAAATCTCTTGGTTTCAGAATAAAAGATCTATAAGAATAGAATTATAAAATGAATTAAAATATGGCATGATATTTGTTTATTGATATTCTCTTTCCAGAATTCATGAAAAAATTGCTTCCTTGTTTTCATTTAGAAATTTCTGTAGAGTTTTATTTTTCAAATCATAACATTCTTCAACAGGAAATCTACTGTTTTTATTCTAAAATGAAATAGTGAAGAGTTTTGTACCATTATCAGTATCAGATTTAGTTTTCTTCTTCATGTAAGAGGTAATGGTTGATGCCACTGATGAACAAACTTTCCCTTATTGCACACTGTATATCTTCAAGTGTACAATAAGGTGTTTCAAGTAGGATGTGAAACTCCATTTCATTTCAATAGTATTTGATTTTCCACTTGATATTTCAGAGCAACTGTACAAGTTAATTGTCCTGAACATCCAGACACACCATTAGTAGAAGATCATCATGCTGGTGATATGATATGTCCAGAGTGTGGACTGGTAGTAGGTGATAGGTATGGAACTTTATTCTACTATTTATTATGACATATAATTTAGAATCAACTCTAGATTGTATAAAAGACTGTTAAAATTGTTGTTTTATAATAATCTTCCTGATTTTTGTGACAGCAAGCTTATATTCTAAATAAGTGTTTTCATATGTATTAGCGCTGTCATAAAAATTACTAAGTTTTGAAGAAGACTACAATATTTATGAAGGTGATGGTGCAGGCACAAATAGATCGTCTGACAGATTCTTCCACCAGAAATTTAATCAAATAGAATGGATTCCAAAACATATTCTTGGGTAAAAATGGAGATGCCACAGATGATAATATTTTAAAATTTATAGTTTACACTAAGTAGAATTGTTAGTGGAAGTCAACATGTTATTTATTGTATTTTAGAGTAATAGATGTCGGATCAGAATGGAGAACATTTAGTAATGATAAAGATGCTAAGGATGCTTCTCGTGTTGGAGCAGCTGAGGTAACTTATCTCCCTTTATTGTTACTTGTCAAAGTCTCGGATTGTAAACTATGTTGTCTCTAACAATTCCATCAGAACAAACTACATGCTTAACCTAGTTTCCAGAATCAGATTACAAAATTAGATGACTGCTGACTGGCATAAACTGAAATACAGAAAAACATTTTATGACATTCAGAAGTTGGCTCTGTTTTTCTCTCTGTGTTTATAGTCCAGCAATCTTGAATAATCGCAGCCTTGTCTTCTGGCTGATTCAGATTTTCACGTACCTATCAGGTTTTGTAGAACTTTGTATACATGTATGTAGAATACATGTACATAGATTTAAAGGCTTGAAATATTTATGACCTTTCTAAAATATTGACTGATTTTGTAGTGAAATAAATGTCAAACAAGATGTATAGTTTTGTATGTAGAACCATCTGTATAATGAGGACCCTGCAAATGCTAAAGTCATTTGATTTTAGATTTTCTTGATAATATTAAAAAGCCATGGCTCAAAACATATCTATTTATTTAATCTTTTGTGTTGTGTGGAGAATGGAGATCTTAAATAAATGTTTATTATTGACATTTATTTTCAGAACTCTCTACTGGATGGAGGTGATTTATCGACTATGATAGCTGCTGTACCAGGTGGTGAAGATTCTGGTTATAGAAACAGACGAACAGTAAGTTTTTTGGGTTTTTTTTTTTTTGAGTGGTTATGTTCATTTGCCACAGAGCTTAGATTTGGTCATATTTTTGGCTTTGAGGTGTATTCATACACCATATCATCATGTCACTTCATGTGAGAAACAATAGTTATTATATTGAATACGCCAGAAAATACCTTAATTAGACTCAACTTGCGCAATCTAATTTGATGAAGATGAGAATGATTTAGTATGGCTGATACGCTGAAGATTAAAGGGAGACAACTTATTTGGGTATTTTCAGATCAGTAGCTCAGACAGAACATTGATATCAGCATTTAAAGAAATCAATCAAATGGCAGACAGATTAAATTTACCTAAAATGATAGCAGTAAGTTTGTTTATTATTTATATTTATCTGTTGTAATTTATATAAATAAACATGTAAAAACTGATTAGATTAGATTTTGAAATAAAATAGTGACATTGATATATATTTTTGATTTGTGGATGAAATTTCTGTACAATTGATGTATTGAGCACTGTTTTAACAGTGGTATTTTTATATCACTCTACAATTGATGTATTAAACACTATTTTAACAGTGGTATTTTTATATCACTCTACAATTGATGTATTGAGCACTATTTTAACAGTGGTATTTCTATATTGCTCTACAATTGATGTATAGAACACTATTTTAAAAGTGATATTTCTATATTGCTCTACAATTGATGTATTGAGCACTATTTTAACAGTGGTATGTCTATATCGCTCTACAATTGATGTATTGAGCACTATTTTAAAAGTGATATTTCTATATTGCTCTACAATTGATGTATTGAGCACTATTTTAACAGTGGTGTTTCTATATTGCTCTACAATTGATGTATTGAGCACTAACTTTACAGTGGTATTTCTATATCACTCTACAATTGATGTATTTAGCACTATTTTAACAATGGTATTTCTATATTGCTCTACAATTGATGTATTGAGCACTATTTTAAAAGTGATATTTCTATATTCCTCTACAATTGATGTATTGAGCACTATTTTAACAGTGGTATTTCTATATTGCTCTACAATTGATGTATTGAGCACTATTTTAACAGTGGTATTTTTATATCACTCTACAATTGATGTATTGAGCACTATTTTGACAGTGGTATTTTTATATCACTCTACAATTGATGTATTGAGCACTATTTTACAGTGGTAATTCTATATCACTCTACAATTGATGTATTGAGCACTATTTTAACAGTGGTATTTCTATATTGCTCTACAATTGATGTATTGAGCACTATTTTAACAGTGGTATTTCTATATTGCTCTACAATTGATGTATTGAGCACTATTTTAACAGTGGTATTTCTATATCACTCTACAATTGATGTATTGAGCACTATTTTAACAGTGGTATTTCTATATTGCTCTACAATTGATGTATGGAGCACTATCTTAACAGTGGTATTTCTATATTGCTCTACAATTGATGTATTGAGCACTATCTTAACAGTGGTATTTCTATATCACTCTACAATTGATGTATTGAGCACTATTTTAACAGTGGTATTTCTATATCACTCTACAATTGATGTATTGAGCACTATTTTAACAGTCGTATTTTTATATCACTCTACAATTGATGTATTGAGCACTATTTTAGCAGTGGTATTTCTATATCACTCTACAATTGATGTATTGAGCACTATTTTAACAGTGGTATTTCTATATTGCTCTACAATTGATGTATTGAGCATTATCTTAACAGTGGTATTTCTATATCACTCTACAATTGATGTATTGAGCACTATTTTAACAGTGGTATTTTCATATCACTCTACAATTGATGTTTTGAGCACTATTTTAACAGTGGTATTTCTATATCACTCTACAATTGATGTATTGAGCACTATTTTAACAGTGGTATTTTCATATCACTCTACAATTGATATTTTTGTTAATAAATCATGGAAATTTGCGACATTTTTGGGACACTTTTCAGTTTCTTACCACTTTAAGCAATCATCGTATATATATTATAGGATAGAGGAAGTACATTATTTAAAACAGTACATGAAGGTAAATCATTACGTGGTAGAAGTAATGATGCTATAGTCTCAGCCTGTGTTTATATAGCTTGTAGACAGGAAGGTGTACCTAGAACATTTAAAGGTAATTTTAGTTAGAAATATTAAAACAGAACCTGAAACATGTTGTACAATCTTCAGACAACTGACCTATTTCATCTTAAAAAGTTTCCATAAATTTTTCATTACCGCTTGATTGAACACAGATAAGTTTTTTAGATTCACTTGAACACAGTTATTCCAGTGAGTTGGAAATATTACGTGTCTGACTGTTACCTGAGGGGGCGCTTGATTGATGAGCTCTGCACATTCGTGATACATGAAATCAACTTGACGAACAATAAAACAATTTGAAACAGGGTACAGAACGCGTTCTCTAGTTGTGTCAAAAAAAATGAAGGTGTAGATAGAATTCAATATGGTGGAGAGAGGAATAGATATCCAGAATTGGAACAGACAGAACCTGTTCAGAATTAATCAATAGAGTTCCAACAAACTCACACTAGCATCAAGATTTTGCCAAAGTGTTGAGAAATCATAATCACTAATGATGACAACTGAATATTTGATAACAATAACTATATTTCATTTTGTTTTATTGTAGAAATTTGTGCTGTATCTAAAATATCTAAGAAAGAAATAGGTCGTGTATTTAAACTGATTATAAAGAATCATGAAACAAACGTAGAGTTAATAACTACTGGTGATTTTATGGTAGGTTATTGTTTTCTCTTATAGAAACAGTACTGCTGAGCTGCAACTGATTGTTGCCATTCCAGGAACCTCCATATCAGCTACTTTTTACTGGAAACTGAATATATATAGTGTAAAATAGTCTGTGATTAACAACCAATTATCAAATTGTATAGAAAATAGTATATTATACAATCTATACTTATGTAGTTTATAAGGTTTTTACACAGAGTTTTCTTGAGAATGCTTTTTCTTTTTTGACTCTTGAAGTGTTCTGATTCATTAAGTTGATTTTTTGTTATTTTTGATTTCTTTCAGTCTCGGTTCTGTACCAATCTAGAATTACCTATGAAAGTACAGAAAGCTGCTACGTGTATAGCTAGAAAAGCTGTAGATTTAGATCTAGTACCAGGGTTAGTATTTATACTAGATGTTATGTTGTATAAGGATAGAATTTTACTATACTTTACATGTTATTGTGTCAGGTGACTTATTTCGGCACTAATATAAGGCTTTTGACATAAATCCTAAAAAAAATTATCATTTAAAAGGGGATCAAATGAATAGGTAACATGGTAACAATACTTTATCATGCAAGAATTAGAATTGAGTTTGAAAAAGTGATATTGAATGGATTGTAAAGAGTTTTTTGAAACGTTTTATGTGTATAGAGGGCATTGATCAATTTTTCAATTTTCAGTCAGATGTCTGTGGTTTTGTGCAATTCCACTAAAATTGTGGTTAAGTGTTTGTTTCCTGAAGTAAAATGACCCCAATACACATAATTCTTTTAGAAAACCTCTTTACAATACTTGTAAAGTTAATGTACAAGATTAACTCTGAGTTAATTACCTTAATCTTCAATATTTCAGACGAAGTCCAATTTCTGTTGCTGCAGCTGCTATTTATATGGCTTCACAAGTTTCCAATACTAAAAAATCTCAAAAAGGTTGGTTAATTAAATTTCATATTTCTACCTTGTTATATCACAGCAAAGGTCTGGGTTTGACACATGTTGCTCCTAGTGATAGGAGATTATAGAATGTTCAACACAACCAAGCAAACAATGTCCTGAGAAAAGAATGTTGTTTTGATGGAGCAGTCTGTTTGCATCTTGAATGTTGGAGATCAGTTGAAATTCAGATAGGAATAAACCTATACTGCTGCTGTCTTTGCAACAGTGGCGGAGCCAAAGGTGGGGCAGCCCTGAAGGCATGTTTTTTGGGCTAAAATATCATAACTAGGTTTGAAATTCCGGCAACTGCAGGTATTTTGCCCACCCATCAATCGTCAATGTGGAAGTATTTCATAATGAAAAGTGGTGTTGGTGTTATAAATAATTAAAACATTGTTGGTTGAAATATTTAATCTATTTTTAGATATTGGGGAGGTAGCTGGAGTAGCAGAAGTAACTATCAGACAGGCCTATAAACTAATGTATCCTAAGGCTCATGTCCTCTTTCCTGATGAATTTAAATTTGATACTCCTATAGACCAATTACCACTTCAATAAAGTCATGGTCAATTTATTTAATGGTAATGAAATGTTGTTGTTTAAATGGTAATTGGTGAAGAGTGAAGCCATAGTAGTTGTTTGAATGGTAATTGGTGAAGAGTGAAGCCATGGTAATTGGTGAAGAGTGGAGCTGTGGTAATATTACCATGGTAATTGGTGAAGAGTGGAGCCGTGGTAATATTACCATGGTAATTGGTGAAGAGTGGAGCCATGGTAATATTACCATGGTAATTGGTGAAGAGTGGAGCCGTGGTAATATTACCATGGTAATTGGTGAAGAGTGGAGCCGTGGTAATATTACCATGGTAATTGGTGAAGAGTAGAGCCGTGGTAATATTACCATGGTAATTGGTGAAGAGTGGAGCCGTGGTAATATTACCATGGTAATTGGTGAAGAGTAGAGCCGTGGTAATATTACCATGGTAATTGGTGAAGAGTGGAGCTGTGGTAATATTACCATGGTAATTGGTGAAGAGTGGAGCCGTGGTAATATTACCATGGTAATTGGTGAAGAGTGGAGCCGTGGTAATATTACCATGGTAATTGGTGAAGAGTGGAGCCGTGGTAATATTACCATGGTAATTGGTGAAGAGTGGAGCCGTGGTAATATTTACCATGGTAATTGGTGAAGGATTTAAATGCTGTGTGTGTGAAGTGCTCCTCTGTATTTCTTCAAGATTTTTATGTAAAAGACATTGAAAACCCAATTCCATGATATAACATTTTTTTTTCCTTTATCAATGTTGAAATTCCATTTATGTTTTGATGTATGGCAATAGGAATGAGGTACGAAATCATCAAGATAATGCTAGTTACATAGCAAAAAAATGGCTTTAAGAGGCCTTTTAAAAGCACTATTAGAATAGCTAGTCAACAATTTTGATTGATTTTCTTTTTTCGCATTTAAAGGAGGCCTCACTAAGAAGATTTGTTACAGTGCATAATGACACTGTGAATTTCTTTAATGCCAAGGGTTGAATCCCAGTGAGGTTGTGAAAATACCTTCAGTGAATATCTTCCTGTCTGTGATGCAGGTCCACGAGGCTGGCATTGTTTGGATGGGACAATAAACTGAGGCCCCATGTGCTGAATTATTACAGACTGTGCACATTAAAGGTCCCTTGACAGTTGGACATCAAAAAAAGAGTAGGTTAATGCCACTCATTGCACACTTCATGGTGTTAGCTGTCTTCATTGGCCCAAGTAGGGCTTGGAGATTAAGAATATAAATTTTTCAGTATGTTTACCTAGTGTCATAATCCCTATATAGAAAAAATAGTAATCTCTGAAATAAGCTGTAAAGATTTTATGATTTTTTCAATTATTACTTTTATGGATAATAACAAAGTTTTATTTATTTATCTATGTGATTATAAAGGAATTCTGTTGTATAGTTATGACACCAGATAGGCTCATCGATCAATATATACTTTTTATAGGTCACTGTTCATTGTAAGAAGTATAATTCATTGTTTGATATAAATATATCATTTCATTGTGTATATATGTTTCATCTCACTATACTTACAAGATCTGAAAGATAAAAACTCTATTTTTTATTCTTGTTGAATGGATGTTTAGATGTGTTAAAATATATAAGGTGCTATATCTGGTATTTTTATGCTTTAATTTCCATACAGATTTGGTATTTTCAGTGGCATTTCTACAGGCCAGAAAAGGCTGGCCAGTTATACATACAGCCAATTATTACAGGTGAATGTTGGTAGATCTGGGCTCAGTTAACTCACTAAAGATTTTTTTTTAAATTCATAGGGAAGTGAACGAACACTCCCAATGTTTAGAATACAAGCATTTTTAGAAATTTCAAAACTGAACCTGGCACCTATCTTATAGTTCAGGTTCTGTTTAAATATTTCTGTATCTATACAGAGGTATTTCTATATCATTCTACAATTAATGTATTGAGCACTATTTTAACAGTTGTATTTCTATATCATTCTACAATTGATGTATTGAGCACTATTTTAACAGTGGTATTTCTATATCACTCTATAATTGACGTATTGAGCACTATTTTAACAGTTGTATTTCTATATCACTCTATAATTGACGTATTGAGCACTATTTTAACAGTGGTATTTCTATATCGCAATACAATTGATGTATTGAGCACTATTTTAACAGTGGTATTTCTAAGTTGTGGGCAAACTATAATCAAAACAGATCCTTGGAAGTTCAAAGGTCATGTTTTTACCATCTGCATAGAGCTCCCTTATTGATCAATACAGAGAAATATTCCATTCCATTTCTTTATATAACTTGTAAACATATATTTGTTGAAATAAACTGTTGTTTGATGAATTTATGAGGTATATATTCAATATATTCAATAGCTGTACTATTCAATAGATTGTGACCATTGTAATGACTATTAGTCCATCCAATATGAAAATAGCAACATGTCTCTTATGAATGATGGGAGCAGTGGTGGCTCAGTGAATTAGACGCATGCTTGCTAACCTAAATGTCCAGGGTTCAATCCCGGCATAGGTAGATGATACCTTTGGAATTTCAACCGTTTTCCCCCTGTCAGTAATGCAGGTAAAAGGCCCTGAGTGCTACAGTCTGGGCGCGATAAAGATCTCTCAACAGTTGGAAATTGAAATCAAGCAGAGTAATGCCACCGTCCTGGCAAAATGTCCCTGATTGCACCTTGCAAACATTAGCCCACATGGTGCAGAAAAGTAAGTCATATAACTCCATTGATTTCATGGGAAGTTAATGCTCCAATAACACTCAATGAAACCAAAAAGACACCAATGATTCCCAGAAAAACCAATAAGACACAATGATTCCCAGTGAGACCAATAAGACACCAATGATTCCCAGTGAAACCAATAAGACACAATGATTCCCAGTGAGACCAATAAGACACCAATGATTGTCAGTGAAACCAATAAGACACAATGATTCCCAGTGAGACCAATAAGACACCAATGATTGTCAGTGAAACCAATAAGACACCAATGATTGTCAGTGAAACCGATAAGACGCAAATGATTCCCAGTGAGACCAATAAGACACCAATGATTCCCAGTGAGACCAAAAAGACACCAATGATTATCAGTGAGACCAATAAGACACAATGATTCCCAGTGAGACCAATAAGACACCAATGATTGTCAGTGAAACCAATAAGACACCAATGATTATCAGTGAGACCGATAAGACGCAAATGATTCCCAGTGAGACCAATAAGACACCAATGATTCCCAGTGAGACCAAAAAGACACCAATGATTCCCAGTGAAACCAATAAGACACAATGATTCCCAGTGAGACCAATAAGACACCAATGATTGTCAGTGAAACCAATAAGACACCAATGATTATCAGTGAGACCAATAAGACGCAAATATTTCCCGGTGAAACCAATAAGACGCCAATGATTCCCAGTGAAACCAATAAGACACCAGTGAGACCAATAAGAAACCACTGATTTCCAGTGAAGCCAGTAAGACACCAGTGAAACCAACAGGACATCAATGATTCCATGTGAAACCAATACGACATAAATAATTCCCAGTGAAACCAATAAGACACCAATGATTCCCAGTGAAACCAATAAGACACCAATGATTCCCAGTGAGACCAATAAGACAGTAGTGAACCCAATAAGACACCAATGAATCCCAGCGTAACCAATAAGAAACCAATGATTTCCAGTGAAACCAATAAGACACCAATGATTGTCAGTGAAACCAATAAGACACCAATGATTCCCAGTGAAACCAATAATACACCAATGATTCCCAGTGAAACCAATAATACACCAATGATTCCCAGTGAAACCAATAATACACCAATGATTCCCAGTGAAACCAATAATACACCAATGATTGTCAGTGAAACCAATAATACACCAATGATTCCCAGTGAAACCAATAAGACACCAATGATTCCCAGTGAAACCAATAATACACCAATGATTGTCAGTGAAACCAATAAGACACCAATGATTCCCGGTGAAACAAACTAGACACCAATGATTCCGAGTGAGACCAATAAGACATCAATGATTCCGAGTGAAACCAATAAGACACCAATGATTCCCGGTGAAACCAATAAGACACCAATGATTCCCAGTGAAACCAATAAGAACCAATGATTCCCAGTGAAACCAATAAGAACCAATGATTCCTAGTGAAACTAATGACACCAATGATTCCCGGTGAAACCAATAAGACGCAAATGATTCCTGGTGAAACCAATAAGAACCAATGATTCCTAGTGAAACTAATGACACCAATGATTCCCGGTGAAACCAATAAGACACCAATGATTCCCAGTGAAACCAATAAGACACCAATGATTCCTAGTGAAACTAATGACACCAATGATTCCCGGTGAAACCAATAAGACGCAAATGATTCCCGGTGAAACCATAAGAACCAATGATTCCTAGTGAAACTAATGACACCAATGATTCCCGGTGAAACCAATAAGACGCAAATGATTCCCGGTGAAACCAATAAGACACCAATGATTCCTAGTGAAACTAATGACACCAATGATTCCCAGTGAAACCAATAAGACACCAATGATTCCCAGTGAAACCAATAAGAACCAATGATTCCTAGTGAAACTAATGACACCAATGATTCCCGGTGAAACCAATAAGACGCAAATGATTCCCGGTGAAACCAATAAAACACCAATGATTCCCGGTGAAACCAATAAGAACCAATGATTCCTAGTGAAACTAATGACACCAATGATTCCCGGTGAAACCAATAAGACACCAATGATTCCCAGTGAAACCAATAAGACACCAATGATTCCCGGTGAAACCAATAAGAACCAATGATTCCTAGTGAAACTAATGACACCAATGATTCCCGGTGAAACCAATAAGACGCAAATGATTCCCGGTGAAACCAATAAAACACCAATGATTCCCGGTGAAACCAATAAGACACCAATGATTCCCGGTGAAACTAGTATTACACCAATGATTCCCAGTGAAACCAATAAGACACCAATGATTCCCAGTGAAACCAATAAGACACCAATGATTCCGAGTAAAACTAGTAAGACTCCAGTGAAATGAAGAGGCAAACTATCTCAAACATACTTTTATGGTAACAGTGATTCTTTATGACGGGGTCGGTCAGATTCGCCATCAGCTTGCAGAGGTTGAAAATTCAGTTGCTTTCAGATTGTACTTGTCACAAGGTCAATTTGAGTCTGCTTTAACTCTGCGCTCCATCATGATGTAGGGTTAATAGATTTAAATGTATACAATCGTTTCTAAAGAATATGTTCATCTCGAATTGTGTCTCTCTGCTTTGGCTACGGGGATGGATAAACGACCAAGAAATTCAAAATATTTAATTCCCAAAAAAAACTTATATTCTACAACTAGTAGTAGCGCATCCTTCTAGAACTTGGGGTTGGAATAGGGGGCAGGCTGATTGAGTCGGGATACAACTGTCGGGATTGAAAAGCACTATGGATACACTGTGGGTCTGAGAGGTACCTCATGGAAAAAAACTGAAAAATCAATTGGTTTGGTGCAATCTGTCACTGTTATTTTCATATTTGAAATTACTGAGAAATACAGTGGACTACAAACTATGTTTTTGGAGGACATGTTCTTATAGTACCCCCACTGGGGCCGCCTTTGTCTACAACTCCTGATTATATTTCCCATTGTTTCTACTGTGGTATTGATGAGTAAAAACGCAAACGTCATTCTTTTACTACAAATGTGACTGATGAAGATTTATCTATCTATCTATATTTATCACAGTAATTATTGAGTAATAGGGTGTAGCAAATCAAGTGAAAGAATTTAAGCCGGATCTTGATTTGATTCTCTTTTTTTAACTTACGTCACTTTACCAATTCCTAAAATAATTCAATAACAATTCCATACCACATGTCAGCAATTCACGTGTCGTAGAGAATCATGATGATTATGAAACAGCACTGTAAGGACCTCATCGATTACGACTTTATTCAACTATGTTCATAAAAGGAAAGTACATATCTGTGATGCAATGGTGGCAAAACTCATGGAAACAATCATATCAGTGATATAACAGGGAGGGTGAGGGATTGGGGTATTTGTCTGCGTCTGCGAATAGGACATCACTGTTTTGTGATAAGTATGGTCAAGGTCAGAATTAATTCTAATTTCAGGTGATAAAGTCAATATTTAAGTGTCCCTTGAAGTCCCATAGAGGATCTTTTTTTTTTGAGGATGGAGACATCGAAATAAAACAGCAGAAAAGCAGAACATGAAACACCAAATCATTTAATTTCAATATGATACAGAGTTCAAGATTGGCACCTGGCACTGTCTGTTTCCAGAATGTTCTTTTTCCTACATTTCACATTCTGTTAAAACGCTTGAGCACGGTGATAGCTGAGCCTGTAGCATTTCTCTTTGTATAATATTTTTATCCTCTTCTCTGGTGACGTATATTATTTATCAATGACCGACTTCAAACCAATGTCTTGTGGCACGTGGTTAAGCAAACGTGATTTCAAGACAAAGAAATGATATATTTAGTAATGATTGATGCATTATTTCTTATTTTTAATACCATCAATCACGTATTTTCCTAAACGTAAAGTTCTTAAAGCTATTTTAAGTATAGTATTACAAGTATATTGTATTCCAGCGAAATTCCAGGGCAGTTTTCTGATTTGTTTTGTTTTGTTTTGTTTGGTTAAAGAACAATATGAGTGGAGAATTTTCTGGAGGCTTTTGTAGTTTAGTGGGGGGAGGTGCTAACACATCTTATTGAACTTTAATTCCAAAGCTTCCTCAAATTAGCTCAACCTGATGCCGCAAAGAGAAACGTGTGGGCTCATGATCGTATCTTTTCAGGAAGATTCTGGAACGCAGACAATAGACTTTAAATTGAAGCAGATTGAAAATGTGACCACATTGGGGGATAAAGCTCATTAGACTGACGACCACAGTTAGTAGCCATTGAGTAAATCTTTCAGACTATCATATTGGTTGCCCTTTGAGTCAAACCAATGTCAACAGCATTGATTATGATACTCATACGTAAGTAAAAATTTCCATTTTGCCAATCCAATATGTAGTTTACAATATACGGGTAAATGCTGACTGTCTAGGATGGCTCACTGTTTAAACGGCAAAACTTACATCAGTAACTCAGATTTGGGCCATCCTTGTGTACTACAGTAGGTTACAATATGACATAAGAGATTTTTTGCAGTTTTGTTACCTATATAGGTGTCTTCACACTTTCAAGCTTGTCTGCAATATCCACCTTTCATGTTTAGCAGAAGTTTGTGATTATGGCGATTTGGTTGGATTGTACGCTAGCGAATACAGCCAATCAGATTCCTCACCAGAAAGACTGTAAACTATGAGCCATAATATTAACAATTTTGCTTACAACCTGTCTGTCGTGGAATCTGATTTGCTATATTCGCTGGCGTAAAATCCAATCAATTCGCTGCAGTCTGTGACAAAATGGCTATTGTAGTCAAGGTTTTAGTCGCGGTTCATAACAGCTTGACATTGTGAAGATGTGAAGTACTCTACGTATGGATTTTGTTTATATTCATGACATGCTTTTTGTTTCGGGATTTCTAACATGTACACAAAAAAGTTAGACTGGAGATATTCTGATTGATTTAGATATTAAAAATTACAATAACAAAATATTTTCACAGTTGAAATAGTGCTCTATACATCAATTGAAGAGCCATGTAGAAATACCACAGTTAAAATAGTGCCTTATACATCAATTGCAGAGTGATGTATAAGTACAATTGTTAAAATAGTACTCTGTACATCAATTGTAGAGCGATATAGAAATACCACTGTTAAAACAGTACTCAATACATCAATTATAGAGTGATATAGAAATACCACTGTTAAAATAGTGCTAAATACATCAATTATACAGAGATGTATAAATACCACAGTTAAAATAGTTCTCAATACATCAATTGTAGAGATATGTATAAATACCACTGTTAAAATAGTGTTCAATACATCAATTATAGAACGATGTATAAATACCACTGTTAAAATAGTGCTCAATACATCAATTGTAGAGCGATGTATAAATATCACTGTTCAAATAGTGCTCAATACATCAATTGTAGTGTGATATAGAAATATCACTGTTAAAATAGTGTTCAATACATCAATTGTAGAGCGATGTATAAATATCACTGTTAAAATAGTGCTCAATACATCAATTGTAGAGCGATATAGAAATATCACTGTTCAAATAGTGCTCAATACATCAATTGTAGTGTGATATAGAAATACCACTGTTAAAATAGTGCTCTATACATCAATTGTAGAGCGATGTATAAATATCACTGCTAAAATAGTGCTCAATACATCATTTGTAGAGCTATATAGAAATACTACTGTTAAAATAGTGTTCTATACATCAATTGTAGAGCGATATAGAAATACCACTGTTAAAATAGTGTTATATACATCAATTGTAGAGCAATATAGAAATACCACTGTTAAAATAATGTTCTATACATCAATTGTAGAGCTATATAGAAATACTACTGTTAAAATAGTGTTATATACATCAATTGTAGAGCAATATAGAAATACCACTGTTAAAATAGTGCTCAATACATCAATTGTAGAATGATATAGAAATACCACTGTTAAGATAGTGTTCTATACATCAATTGTAGAGCTATATAGAAATACTACTGTTAAAATAGTGCTCTATACATCAATTGTAGAGCGATATAGAAATACCACTGTTAAAATAGTGCTCAATACATCAATTGTAGAGTGATATAGAAATACCACTGTTAAAATAGTGTTCTATACATCAATTGTAGAGCTATATAGAAATACTACTGTTAAAATAGTGTTCTATACATCAATTGTAGAGCCATATAGAAATCCCACTGTTAAAAAGGTGTTCTATACATCAATTGTAGAGTGATATAGAAATACCACAATCAAAATAGTGCTCGAACATTAAATGTAGAGTGATATAGAAATACCACTGTTCAAATAGTGCTCAATACATCAATTGTAGAGCGATGTATAAATACCACTGTAAAAATAGTGTTCTATATATCAATTGTAGAGCTATATAGAAATACTACTGTTAAAATAGTGTTCAATACATCATTTGTAGAGCGATGTATAAATACCAGTGTTAAAATAGTGTTCTATACATCAATTGTAGAGCGATATAGAAATACCACTGTTAAAATAGTGCTTAATACATCAATTGTAGAGCAATGTTAAAATACATGTAATGCTCCATACTTAAATTTTATGGTACACAGTATTTATTTCACAATTTTTCGTATGCAATGGGGGTGACCACGTCTTGGCCGAAATATCAGTAGTATGCAGTATGATACCATACACCATTCGGATCTATAAGAATCTTTTTCTTTCACTGCTGACAAACAATATTGTATTCTGAAAAGTGGTATCAAAATGAGATTGAATTTTATATGTATTATTTGAGAAAACAATGAATAGTTCGAAGCGGTAGTTTTCCCCATCTTATATCATAAACAATCATATTGACGTATACTCGATTCGCTTTTAATGTCTGTTAGGTGACTAACCTCAGCAGACTCTGCTGTTTCTAATGAAGTAATTAATAAGGATTTGTCGGGATGAAGGCTATGGAATCTAAACAATAAGGCGTGACCATAAAATAAAAATAGTCCACAAAGATCACATTTTATCATTCATTAATATCAGAAATAGGCTCTTCCATAAATGTTTGAAAAACTCCTTAATTAAGGGCGTGGAATCAAAACATGGCCTGGTCTGAAAGTTTCTATCGTTATTATTTCATTCATTCAGGAAGCTTTATACCTGTAAGGTACGTATTTTAAATCTTTAGGGAACCGTTGTGATTTTGAACTACAAAGTTTGGCAAGGTTCACTATTTCTGAAACCAATGTATGATTTAACAGTAGATTTAATTAAGAGTTGTAAAGATGTTTTCTAAACTGTTTATGTGCATTGGAGACATCGATTTTCACCATTCTAATTTT